TCCTCAGAGGATGGACAAGTCTGAAATTCCCAGGAATAGTTTCCTACTGTCAATTCCTCAGGCATATTTCCATGGTCAAAATTTTCAGAAAGGATTAGAGAAACTTGCTGAGTTGTTTCACCTGTGTTAACATCAGTGACCTTAATGTTATACTCTTCCAATTCTATCACTTTTCTGCCAATAGTCTTAAGGTCTGGATCTATTCCTGATGATAGGAGACCTCTATGCTTTTCTTTTCTTTCTTTATTTAAAAATTTCTTTTTTATGTATTTCTTTTTAAAATTTTTTCCCAAGTTACACATAAAAACAATTTTTAACATTCATTTTTAAAACTTTCAGTTCCAAATTCTCTCCCTTCCTCCCCCCTTACCCCATTGAGAAGGCAAGCAGTTTGATATAGGTTATGCATGTGTAGTCGTGCAAAACATATCCATAATAGCAAAAGAAAACATAGACAAAAAAATTCAAGAAAAATAAAGTAAAAAAAAAGTGTGCTTCACAGAAAGCTGGGAAACAATTTTTACAGCCAGTGTCTTTGATAAGGGCCTCATTTCTAAAATATATAGAGAACTGAATTGAATTTATAAGAATACAAGTCATTCCCCAATTGATAAATGGTCAAAGGATATGAATAGGCAGTTTTCAGAGGAAGAAATTAAAGCGGTCTATAGTCATATGAAAAAATGTTCTGAATCACTATTGATTAGAGAAATGCAAATCAAAATGACTCTGAGGTACCACATCATACCTATCAGATTAGCCAACATGACAAAACAGAAAAAATGATAAATGTTGGAGAAGATATGAGAAAATTGGAACATTAATGCATTATTGGTGGAGTTGTGAACTGATCCAGCCATTCTGGAGAGTAATTTGGAACTATGCCCAAAGGGCTATAAAAATGTGCATACCCTTTGACCCAGCAATACCACTTCTAGGTCTGTGTCCCAAAGAGATCATAAAAATGGGAAAAGGGCCCACATGTACTAAAATATTTATAGCAGCTCTTTTTGTGGTGGCCAAGAATTAGAGATTGAGGAGATGCCCATCAATTCAGGAATGGCTAAACAAGTTGTGGTATATGAATGTAATGGAATACTGTTATGCTATAAGAAATGATAAGCTGGAGGACTTCAGAAAAACCTGGAAAGACTTGTATGGACTGATGCTGAGTGAAATGAGCAGAACCAGGAGAAGAATGTACACAGTAAGAGCCACATTGTGCGATGACTGACTTTGATAGACTTAGCTCTTTTCAGCAATGCAAGGATCTAAGACAACTTCAAAAGACTCATGATGGAAATTGCTATCCACATCCAGAGAAAGAAGCATGGAGTCTAAATGCAGATGGAAGCACACTAGTTGCTCTCCTTTTCTTTTGTTGTTTTGTTTTATTTCTTCTTTCTTGTGGTTCTTCCCATTGATTCTTATTCTTCTATACATCATGACTGATGTGAAAATATGCTTAATATGTATGTATTAGTAGAGCCTATGTCAGATTACATGCCATCTTGGGAAGGGGGGAGTAGAGAGGGGGGGAGAAAATTTAAAACTCAAAATCTTATGGAAGTGAATGTTGAAAGCTAAAAATATGTATAGCAGATCATTTCTGGGGGCAAAGAATTAGAAATTGATCAGTTTTCTGATGAAGTCATCAAAGCTATGAAAAAATATGAAAAAATACTCTCACTCACTATTGACTGAAGAAATGCAAATTAAAACAATTCTGAGGTACTACCTCATACCTATCACATTGGCTAATAGGACAGAAAAGGTAAATGAGAAATGTTGGAGGGGATGTGGGGAAAATGAGATATTAATGCATTGTTGGTGGAGTTGTGAACTGATTCAACCATTCTGTAGCGCAATTTGGAACTATGCTCAAAGGGCTACAAAACTATACATGCCCTTTGACCTAGCAATACCACTGCTAGGTCTGTATCCCGAAAGAGTTTAAAAACGAAAAGGAAAAGGGCCTATATATACAAAAATATTTATAACAGTTCTTTTCTTGGGGTAAAGAATTAGAAGTTGAAGGGATGCCCACCCATTGTGGAATGGCTGAACAAGTTGTGGTATGTGATTATGATGGAATACTATAAGAAATGATAAGCAGGATGGTCTCAGAAAAACCTGGAGAGACTAGCATGGGCTGATGCAAAATGAAATGTACAAAGCAACAGCAATATTTTAAGATAATCAACTGTGCTATTCTCGGCAATACAATGATCTGAGAGAACTCTCTGAAGGACTTATGATGAAAAATGATATCCATCCCCAGAGAAAGATGGTGTCTGAATACAAATTGAAGCATACCCTTTTTTTAACTTTATTTTTCTTGAGTTTTTTTTTCTTGTCTGTTTTCTTTTACAACATGACTATTATGGAAATGTTTTGCATGACTATACATGTATAACCTATATCAAATTGCTTGCCTTCTCAAAGTGAGAGAATTTGGAACTCAAAGTTTTAAACAGGAATGTTAAAATTGTTTTTTCATGTAACAGGAGAAAAATAAAATACTAAATAAAGAAAAAAGAATTACTGAAATATGAAAAAAAAGAAAAGAAAAATAGAGTTGGGAAGAATGCAATCATTAACAGCTTATGACAAGTGGGGTGATACCAAATAAAACTGTTCTGTGTGAGATCCAGCACTGGGTCAGGAGGCCATCTTCAGCCTCACTCGCGTCTAAGCCCCTCATCCCATCTAGATATAACAAGTTACTGGCTGCTGGAAGCCAGGCTACCACTATAACAAGATTTTCCCCCAGTAGGCCCATTGGAGCACCTTGGGTTCCATGGGGGAGGGGAAGGAGAGTACAGAGGGCAGACAGCTGAGGAAATGGGTGTCATGAGTTCTTGGGAGTCAGTATTTGCACCTTACACTGGTTATTGTGGGTAGGTCCACATGGAAATCCTTGGAGTTGCCTAAACCATCAAGTGTAGTTAACCCCAACACTGGGTGTTATTGGGTCCCCAGGATGGAGGTAGATGTTTCATCTCTGGGATAGAGATGAAGTAAATTGGAGTACTTTGGTGTATCTACTCCCTTATCTGTTGTTTATTCACATAACAACCCTGTGTGGCTTGTGAAGAGGTCAGATGGCACTGGCCTCCTTGGTGTCTTATGGCAAGTTTTATAGTCATACCCATTCCTGTCCTTAACAGTGGGGTGGATCAGTCAGCCAGGCCTGGACTGAATGGCAGTGTGCTTATCAGCCTCTGCACTGCTCATTTCTCTATTTCTGCGTCTTTCATCTAGCAAGGAGTCAGGTCTACCTTGGCCATCCTACCCCATTCAGAGCTACCTGAATGCTCCTTCCTACTACCACATACTGGGGAGGGGCAGAATCCTGAAAGAGGACTCTCTTCCTGGGTATTGGTGTACACCACTTCACTGATGGCATCTTGACTAGGCCAAATGAGGCCATGGGGACAGCCCTTCCAACATCTGTCATTTTCCTTTATGTCATCTTTGCCAATTTGAGGGTGTGAGGTCGAACCTCAGTTACGTTCATTTGCATTTCTCATATGATCAATGATTTGGAGCATTTTTTTCATCTGGTTGTTAATAGTGTAAATTTCTTACTTTGAGACCTGCCTGGACTTTTTGTCCACTTATCTTTCGGAGAATGGCTTTAACAGAGTTGAATTAATTCCTGTGTATCTGGGATGTCAGTTAGCTTCATTGACTTTGTGTAAAAGACATGTTCATTTTATCTTCAAAATCATCCATTTTCTCCCCTGTGATCTTTCTTCATCCCTTGCCTGGTCACGAACACTTGTATCAAGTTATAAAAGGTGTTCTCTCCTTCCTTGCCCCTCTTCTTGTTGATATGAAGTTTTTGATCCACAACATATACCATTTGGGAGCTTTTGGGGGGGTCTATGGATTAAGATGGTGGTATAATTCCCACTTCGGAAAATTCTCGTTGAATGGCTGTGTAACAATTAGATAAAATCCTCAACAGCAGGGACCAGGGACCCTTTTGGTTTGATAGTAGGCACTTCATGTTTGTTGAATCGAAGGGGGTGTGTGTGTGTGTGTGTATTTATACATATACATATATCTATATATATCTATATCTATATCTATCTATCTATCTATGGGCTAATTTCCCACCTTTCTCACCCCCCCCCCCAGCCTCCTGGTTGAGGTAGTGCTCTGCTCTATGGTCCCAGTCAGGGAGGAGATGGAAATGAGAAAGGCTATCAAGCAGCCTAGATTTGAGAAGCCTAAAGGCAGTTACTGAGGCAGCTAGGTGGCTCAACAGATACAGTGCTGGGCCTAGAGTCAGGAAGACCTGACGCCTCAGACACTTACTAGCAGAAGGAAATGGCAAACCACTCCAGTATCTTTGCCAAGAAAACCCCACGGACAGCACTGGCATGCTGTGGTCCATGGGCTCATAAGGAATCAGGCATGACTGAATAATAAGAGCAGTTATCAACTAAGGGTGGTGGCTGCATCATGCTTGTCCAGAGTTCTACTTCAACACAAGACCAGACCAGTTGGTATGGCCCACTCCTAGTCCTGAGGGAAGGCCCCTGCTTCCATCACTTACCAGTCTACTCCACTGCCCCAGCTTTCCAAGCTAGTCCACCAGCAAGTTGACAAATGTGTGGAAAGGATGAAGTGACTCCTATGGATCAGAGCCCTGTTCCTTACTTCCTGAATATTCACCCTAGATCTCCCTGGACACCCACTAGAGGCCTTCCCAGAGTCCCCCTGCCTCTCAAAGTCTGAAGGTCTAAGACATTGTAGCTGGAAGGGGCCTTCAGACTCACAGTTGAGCAAAATGACTGGCACCTTGGGGTACAGTGACTTGCTCAAACTTACAGTGGTTGAGCTGTTGGCTTCAAGCTTAGGTTCCAAACCCAAAAGGCTCAGAAAGTTGTAACTGTGATGGGTTCCGTGTTGTTTTACTGCCCCACTCCCTCCATCAGGCTGCTAAGCCCCAGCCCGTCATAGAAAGTAGGACCCCCGCAGACCAAGAGGAGAGTTGGAGCAGAACTTTATTCCCCTTCAGGTAGAAAAGGGAGTGGCAGCTGCATGACCCCCCCCCAAAAAAAGTTTTTTGAACAAAATAAAACCAAAAAAAAAAAAGAACAAAAACAAAACGAAAAAAATACCCAACTGTTTTCTGAGCCTAAGGACCAGAGATGTGCCTAGAGCAGGGAGCAGGAAGCAGCCAGCTGGGGACACCTCTGCACAGCAATAGGCTGGCGGCCTAGCCCATGCCAGTAGTACAGTGGGGGCGCTGGGGGCCTATGTTCTAAGGACAGAGCTGCCATCCCTCTCCCACCCCCAGCCAGGAAGGGTGAATGTGGAAGTAAGGAGACATCCACGGCCTATGGGGGTGGGAACCCCCCCTATGGGGGTTCTGCAGGCATAACCCTAAATGCGCACACGCCTCCCCATCCACACCAAATCAATGGTGGGTCTTGGATCTTTTTGCCTGGGGAGGACACAAGGCCAGAAAAATGGTGATGGGGGTGGTGGGGTGGGAAGAGGGTAAATTCTCCTCCTTGTAAACTGATCCACAGGTCAATACTGGGGTAGGGAAGAGGGTCAGGAGCAAGTGGTAGGCAAGTGGCGTGGAATAGGAGGGGGAAGAGGTGAAAATCAGGGCATGGTGATGTGATAGGGGCTCCCTGGGATATGCTCCTCGCCCCACATGACCATGAGGGTGTAGTCGCCCTTCTCCTTGAGCAGGTAGGTGATAGTGTAGAGGCCGCCACTGACGTGCTTCACCAAGATCTCCTCGCAGGGGGTCTTGGGGCCCTGGACCCCCACCATGAGGATGTTATTACCTAAGAACAGGAGAGAAGAGCTCAGGCATCTCTTCTAGCCTACCAACACTCATTGAGTCCTGGTGCTAGGCACTAGGGGGCTACCAAGACAAAAGGGCCCATCCTCAAGGAGCTGGCTTTCCAAACCAGAAAGCACAGAGAATAGGTCAATCTGGCTGCAATGGAGAAAGGCAGAGAGAAAGTAAGACTGCTGGACACAATGTCCAGAGAAATCAGCAGAATTCACTCAACACTGCTTGGCTGGTGGCTGTGTGTGTACAAGAGACATATGAGATACGTCTGGCCCTGTACAGACATCCGGGGACTCTTGCTAACAAGTGACTTTTCCAAAGGCCTGTTCTGTTCCCAACACCAAACACTTGCTCTAGAAATCTGGGGGTGGGGGCAGTTAGGGGGTGCCACAGAATTTCTGGGGGTGGAATCAGAAGATCTGAGTTCAAATCTGGCCTTAGTACTTGCTAGCTGTGTAATCCTGGGCAGGTCATTTCACAGCTGACTACAGAACCTCCCTCTCAGGGTTGTTGGGTGGGTCAGATAATAATTATAAAACTTTTAGCATAGTGTCTGGCACACATCTCGGACTGGATGTCCAGTAAACATCTTAAACTCAACATGTCTACAACTGAACTCATATTCCCCCCTAAACCCTCCCCACCTCCCACCTTCCTCATTGATGGAGAGGTCACCACCATCCTCCCATTCCCTAAGATTCCCAACCTAGGAGTCATCCTGGACTCCTTACTCTCTCTCCCCCCACCATATCCAAATATGGTGCCAAGGCCTGATGCCACCTCTGCAGCATATCTCAAATACATTCCTTTCTCTCCTCTGACACTGATGCAGTCCCTTAGCACCTCATGCCTAGATTATGGCAACAGCTATTGGGGGGAAGGGAGGTCCTGACTGCCAAGTCTGTCTCTTCTAGTCCATCCTCCATTCAGCCACTAAAGTGATTTTCCTAAAGTGCAGGTCTGACTATATGTCACTCCCCTACTCAATAAACCCCAGTGGCTCCCTATCATCTCCAGAATCAAATAGCAAATGCTCTGTTTGGCATTCAAAGCTCTTCATAACCTAGCTCCCTTCTACCCTCCTAGTCTTTTTACACCTTACTCCCCTCATGTACTCTTTGACCCAGTAACAATGGCCTCCTGGCTGTTCCACCAACAACCAAGACCCTCCATCTCTCAGCTCCAGGCATTCTCTCTAGCTGACCCACATGCCTGGAATGCTCTACCTCCTCCACTCTGACTGTTGACCTCCCTAGCTTTAAGTCTCAACTATAATTCCACCTTCCATAAGAGGTCTTCTCCAACTCCTCTTAATTTTAGTGCCTTCCCTCTGCTAATTATCTATTTATCCTATGGAAGTGGGAGTGGGTTGCTTTGTATCTGTTTGCATGTGGTCTCCCTCGTTAGACTGTAAGCTCCTTGAGGGCAGGGGCTATCTTTTGCCTTGGATCAGTGTTTAGCACTACACAGTAGGTGCTTAATAAATGCTTCTTGACAACTCTGGTAGACTAAATTGTGGCTCAGGTCTGATCCCCCACTTCCTCCCAAAGTTCTTATACTTTCTGGGCCCCACAAGAGCAGTAAGTGCCTTGCCTAGGGAGTAAGTGGCAGAGCCAGCTTGGACCCTGGGCTCCACTCCCAATTCAGAATCTGTTCCAGCCCAGGAATCCCTTTTCTAAAAGCAGCTGGCTCGCTCCCCAGGCCTGCCCCCTCTGGCAGCCCCAAGAGGCCCCTATGCCTGCCTGCTTTGCTGCAGTCCACAGTGAAAGAATTCTTCTGGCCCACAAAGGCCTTGCTGAGCCCCAGGCCCTTGGCCACCACCTTGCTGGCATCAGAATGGAGCTTGGGCAGGGCTCGAGGCTGCAGAGGAGCCTCGCCTTTGGTTACTGAGTCCACAAACACCGACGAGGTCTCGTGGAGACTGTGACTGCTGACCAGTCGGGGACCTACGGGGCAGACAGAATGTGAGAAAGCTAGAAAGAAGGAATCCAAGGCCAAGGTGGGGTTGGGGGTGAGGGGGGGGGAATTAAGAGTCCACACCTGTGACTTTGGCCTTAAAAGGGCTGCCCACGATGTGGTAAGGGCCTCCATACTTGATAGAGATGAGGTAACTGCCAGGTGCCATGGGCGTGTAGGTTACCCGGTAGCCCTCGGAACACTCCTGACAATCCATTTTCACCTTGGAAGGGCCATCGATGGTGACAGACAAGGCACCAGCTCCAGCACTGCTGGTGTTGACAATGAATTCTGCTGGGCTCCCTAGTGTTGAGGGAAGAAGAAGGTAATCTCAAAGGGAAAGGGGCAAAGAAGGTTTTTACTGATCCCTGAACCTTGTCCTCCACCCTAGTTGACTCAGATACATGAGGCAATACTAAGGAAGAGTAATAGGCCTGCAGCTATGGCAGGTGACAGTGCTGTCTGTCAGAGGGCCTTAGCACTTCTGCTGAGCTTTGTGACCAAGGGAGGAATGGGGGGGGAGGGGTTTACAAAGCAAAGGAGATGATCCTGAACACAAAGATTATTTTTCCCTTTGAGCTTTCAGAGTGAATGAAAGAAGACCTGGGTATGCCCAAGATGGCTCTGGCCCAGTGATGTTAAGGGCTCAAGAACAGAGGAACAGAGACAGGCCTTCTTCTCAGTTGTATCTATCTGTAGGAAGGCAGCCACAGGGTTTCAGAGCAAAGAACAGGTAAGGCTGGGCTCAAGCTCTCCAGAAGACAGAAGCAGCTTTCAAGAGAGCTGGAGCAGACACTCAGGTGATGTAATCCACCCTCTGAAAACAAGGTCACAGCCATGAGGTAAGGCCAGTCTGGAGGAAGAACAGGGACTTCTGCCTGTGGTGGACACTGAGGCCTGGGTGACATGGCTAAACATGTGACAGCAAAGCAGATTGGTGACAGAAGATAACTTCCTGGGAGGCTGATGGGTTCCCTGCCTGGGATCTGACCTGGAACAAGCTATGATTGGATTGGTACTTTTCTGTGTGGCCCCGTTCCTTCCCCAGTCACAGACAGCAGCAAGAGGTCTGAAGCTGGTTGGAAAGTGTCCATGTGCTTCATGGAGGCTACGGTGGCAGAGGCAGAAAGATATAGTAAGTAGGCACAGCACAGAGCTTGGCCTCAGAAGAGGTTGGGTCTTGAGGCCCTGCTCAGTCTCCCCACTATGGGGCACCTACCTCCTAGAGTTGTTGTGAAAAAATGGCTTGTCAAGTGCTATAGGCTAGGAAAGCTTTCTTGTTTGCTGCTGTTTGGGTCTTAAAGCAGGAGTCAGCCTGTAGTTAACTACAAATAAAGCCATACTGGCCCAGGTCAGTGACTAGTAAGAAGCCTACCTGACTGCCTAGGGATCCCAGGAGAGTGAGGGGAAAGAGCCACTATCCCCAGAGCTTCACCAGGTCCCTGAAGCACTATACTGGAGAGAAACTGGGAGGCCAACATGGCCTAGCCTGTACCTTATCACAAAGGTCCTCTATGACGTCTAGGCCAAATAGCCATCCAGCCTCAGCTGCTAATTGCAAGCCCTTCAGTGATGGGGAGCCCACTACCTCCCCAGGCCACCTTGAGGCAGTTTTCCTTGTTAGACTATTGATCCTTGCTATCACCCCCAAACTGGCCCCTTGGCACATTCCCCCCACCTCCCCGCCATTGCTGCTCCTGGTGCTGCCTTTGGGGACCAATCCCGAGTTTAATGACAAGGCCTCAAGCCCTTCAGCTTATCGGTGTCCTCTAGGATGTCAAAGTAGATCCAGATGTCATCTCAGCAGGGTGCCAACTTGTTCCTGGTAAGCTGATGTGGCCCAGAGCTTTCTTTGACATTTAGCACCTGGCTGACCTTGGGCTGGGACTCCTCTTCCCAGAGCTCAGGCATTCCCAAGTTGCCCTGTCATGAGCTTGGTCAGACTTGTGAAGCAATCTCAACCTGGTTGAGGCTCTACCTTCAGGCCAAGTATAAACATTGATTCCTGTTGAATGTCACCTTGTTCAACCGAGCCCAGGGCCTGGTGAGAGCTTTTGCCAGGGCGTGAGTGATTCCTCCCATCTAGGGTGAGCATACCTTGAAACGAGTCACTGGTGACTACTCAGCAGCAGAGGGCCAAGTGTGGTTTCTTCTCAAAAAGGAGACTTGGCTTTCCCTCATAGCTATTGTTATGGTAGTGAGATGCACAGGACCAGAAGAGACTACAGTTTAGGACAGCAACTGCTGGGCTGTGTAGGGCCATGTTGTACCATTACTGGCCAGCTCTGCCTACTTCCACCACAGCCATCACCTTCCTTCTTCCCTTCCTCACCCCAGACCTACCTGTGACCCCGCCTTCGAGGCCTGCCCCATAGGCAGACACCATGCCTGGATCCCCTCCTTGCCCAGGCTCTCCCACGCGGATCTTGAAGGGGCTGCCGGGGATATGGGAGCCATTGAATTTGACATCGATCAGGTAGATACCATTCTCCCGGGGAATGAAGCGCACAGCATACTTATCTGATAGGGAGAGGGGGATGAGAGAACAAGGAGGAGATACCACCAACCCTTCCCTCCAGGAACTCTCTTATGTATGTGAGAGCTAATCAAAGATGCTGCCTGAGGGGCAGCCATGGCCCCCTGCCCAGCTCACCCAACAGCCAAAGTCTAAGCCCCTCCCTGCATCCTCCAGGTCTCCAGGGGCTTCCTAGAGGTGGTGCCTGCCTGTGGTGCCTTGCTCCTAGGTCTGTCCTGCACCACCAAATTTGCCTGGTACCCCATGATCACATATTCATTGCTATTCTGCTTGGGAAGCCTGTGGTGGGGACATGGGCCCCCTCATCCCTACCACAGTAACTGCAGCACTGAGCTACAGCAGCAGTAGTGGCAGCGACATCAGACACGGAGCAAGCAGTTACGCACAAGGGTAGTGGCCTTGGCGTTTGTGCTGTTTTGGAGGGGAGTCTTTCTAAAGTGGTGGCCATGCCACTCTGTCTTCAGAGATGACACTGGCTGCCAGGACAGCATAACAAACAGCTGGATATGGGGATGACCCCCTTTCTGGGCTTCAGCCTCATCCTTTGGAAAACAAGGTCTCTAGTGTTTCACAATCTAGTGGAGCCCTCAGAAGCTCCAACATGTGAAGGCACTAGAAAAAGCAGATAGGAAAACTCGCCCCTCCTGCTTCTCAACAACCACCACTTTATCAGTGGCTCCTGAGTGGCACACTTCTCTGGCACCCAGGTCACTAGATAAGTGACTCTCTGCCCTCCCCTGCCAAGTGCCAACAGGTTGCTGGCAGCACAGCCTGGCCTCACCTTGGTCGATCTCTGTGACATAGCATTCCTCCAGGGCCCCTGAGGGGCTATGGACCTTGGCATCGATGACACCTGTGGCGCCATTCAGGCTGACTGCAAAAGAGGCTGGCTGGTTGACCTTTAAACCTGACTCCTGGAATCACAGCACAGGTGGTTAGAAACCCTCAGGGGATTAGGCTGATTTGGGGGGGAGATGGGGAGCCTTGGTACAGAAGGAGATGCACAGAGGACCCCCACCCCTTCCATCAGGGAGGGGCAGAAAGGGAAGGGAGAAACTGAGGAAGAAAAGTAGGAGGAGGTGGGGGGAGAGCAAAGAGTCATAGGAAGAGCAGCCCCAAGGCCTTGTCCAACTTACCCAGTTGGCAGCAAATTCAGTTTAAAGAGGGAGAGCAAGGGGCCCTGGGAGAGGTAGCAGAAGCCACATCCACACATGTCCACATAGTTCACACACATGCCACCCCCATCCCCCCCCCCACATACCCACACCTGCCACATATTCTCACATTGTGGGGGGGGGGCGGGGGTGAGCAGAGGAAGGGAGGGAAGGAGACTTTCAGTACCACCATGCAGCCTTGCCAGGCTCTCCCTCTTTAAACCTCAGCCCTGGTACACAAAAGGCACCAAGATCTGTTAAAAGCCTTTAGATCTGAGACACGAGAAAAACCCCCAGTGGTGTGCAGGGGCTGGCGCCAGCCCTGGGCAGGGGAAGGCGTGGCCAGACCAGGGACTCCTGCATCTGTCCCCACTAGCCTGGCTGAGGCAATCAGCTCTCTAAACCCCCCTGTCCGGGCCTGGGGCCCAGGCTCCAGGTCTTTGCTCCAAAGTCCCTGGCTCTCCTCCTGGGCAGGGTCCGGCCTGGCGCTGCCCATGTCCTGCCCAGGGGGGCTGGGCCCTGCTGGGGGATGGTTTCTCTCAGTGCCTCACCTGAAGGCTAGAAACAGTAAGGCGCCGGGCATCACCAGACGGGGAAGCCACAGGCACCACGAAGGGGCTGTCGGGGATGTGGTCATCGTTGAACTTCACCGAGACCTCGTAGTCGCCTGGGCAGGAAAAATGACAAGGTATTAGGTGTGAAACTCCAGAGCAGCCTGGCAATCTAGTTCCCAAACCCAGCTCCAGGGAGGCTGGTGGCACTAGTGCCCATAGGAGCCCCTCTGTAAATGTAGGAGCCTCCTTTAACCAGGCTAGCTGGGGAACCAGCTATTATTTGCTCCTCTCCAGTCTCAGAAGCAGAGGTTGGCTTGCAAAGGGCACAGGGCAGCAATATAGCACAAGGAAACAGGCAGATTAGGGGGCCATGCAGCAGCAGCTCCCTGGACACCAAGCCTTTTGTCTAACTGCCATCTCTAACACATTTTTGTCTCCCCCTTGAAATGTGGGGCTCCCCAGAGCTGAGCAAAGAGCTTTGTCTCCCTCTTCAGATGTGGGGGCTCCCCAGAATCAGGGGGGGTTTTGTTTCCCCTTCAGATGGGGGGCTCCCCAGAGCCAAGAGGGAGCCTTGTCACCCTCTTCAGATGGAGGGGGCTCCCCAGAGCCAAGAGGGGGCCTTGTTATCCCCTTCACATATGGGGTTTCTTGTCTCCCCCTTCAGATTGGGGGCTCCCCAACAGTAGGGGCCACGTCCCCCCCCTCAGATCGGGGGGTTCCCCCAAGGATAGGGGCCATGTCTTTCCCCTCAGACCAGGGGCTCCCCAAAGGTGGGGGCCCTTTACATCAAGGGGCTCCTAAGGGCATGGGCTATATCTTTCCCCAGGGGTCCCTGGCCCCTCCTCCATAGGCCCCAACCACTGAAGAGTATGGTGGCCGAGATGGGCAGTATGCCTCTCCAGCTGCTCAAGAATCAGTTATGTGTCTGTCCAACAGCAACCTGGGCCAGGCCAACTGCTCCTGTGGGGAATTCTCTGTGGGGAGCACAGGTCAGACTCCAGCCCCCATCAAGCTCTACACGAGGCACAGTCCGCCGTGGCATGTGGCCCACCGTGGCGTGGCCTGCCCTCCTACCCCCCACCTACCGGGCTCTTGGACCACATAGGAGACGCCACAGGAGCCATCCTTGCGGTCCTCGAAGGAGATCTCAGCCTTGCTAGGGCCTTCAACAGCGATGGCCAGGCCCCCAGCACCAGCCTCCCTTGTCCAGATGCTGAATTCCGCTGCAGAAGGAGGGGGGGAAGCATGTGTGTGTGCGTGGGTGGGGGCAGGGGGCTGCAGCTGATGCCAAGCTCAGCTCTGGCTCAGCACCTGTGCACTTTCTAGAATGGTGTCAATAGATAATTGACAAAAAGCTGGGCTCAGATTTGGCAAAGTCCTGGGTTCAAACCCTGCCTTTGTCACACCCAGGCCATTTGCCTCTTGGTGATTTCCTTAGTGTCTCAGCCTAAGTTACAGAGGAGTCACCACACTGGACAGCACAGCAGGCCTGGACCAATAAGAGCTGACATTTACATAGTAGTGTCTTGAGGTCTGCCAGGTGCCTTGATGTGTGCCATCTCAGTGGGTCCTCGCAACAACCCTTTGAAGCAGGCATTACAGCAGTAAGGCAGACCCTTACTATACAGATGAGAGGCAAAATGATTGGCCCAGGACCACAGGGCATAGAAAGCTGTGGCAGATCTGGGATTCAGGCCCAGGTCTAGGTGACTACAATTATAGGCTTCCATTTACCATGGCCCCAGGCTACCTCTACAACAACCTTCTACCTCTGAGTGTGTCAGGCTGGTCTCCCAGCTGGCAATGACCTTTGTTCTAGGCTGTTGCCTGGCTCCCACCTGACCTGGGCATTCAATATATGCTCAGCAAGTTGGAATGAACCGGTTTCCCCCACTCTCCATCCCACTACAGATGCTCCAATTTGGTCTTGCTCCTTTCTTTCCACCCTCTCCTAGGAGTGCACAGCAGGCTTCCTGAAGGCAAAGGAGCACAGCTAAGTCTCCCTCTTAGCCCAGGGACGGCTAACAACCCACATGAAGGAAGTGGCCCCAGATTCTCACACCGACCAAAGGAAGAAGGAGGTTGTGTGGGCAAGGGTATGGCTTACCTGGCACTCCAGCTTCTGCCCTCTCTAGGCCAGGCCCACCAGCACGGACTTTGTGGGCACCCCCTTCTCCCAGGGGCCCCACTGTAAATTGGAAGGGGCTGCCAGGCACGTGTTGCCCCTTGTACTTGACAATGACCGTGTGTACACCCATCTCAGTAGGTACAAAACGGATACAGTAGGTGTTGTTCTCGCCCTCCAGGATCTCAGCCTCATGGGGCTTGCCCGAAGGGCTGGTTACCTGGGCCGTCATATCTCGGACACTGATTTCTGTGAGAGGAAGAGAAGAGAGATCACAGAGAGACAGAGACACACAGTGGGCAAGGAAGGAAAATAGTATGCAGGCCAGGCAGTTACTTCAAGAGGCCCAAACTCTTCTAACCCCTTGGCTTCAGGGGCCTGTGCCCTCCCTTCCTTTCTATCTGCTGCCCTCTTGGCCCTGGAAATTCACAGCCATCTGATCTGCACCTGGACCAGAATGGAAACAGAAAGGGGGGGCAGGGGAAGGGATAGAAGGGATAGGGCTTTGTCCTGTCCCTCACTGCCTTCCCTGAGATTCAGGAACCCCATTCCCTTGTTGCCATACTCTACAATGTCAGAGGAAATGAATTCCTTCCTTGTCCCAGCCTTGCCTCCTGGGCCAGAAGGACCTAAAGCTTCTATTTTGAATTGGATTCGTCTAACTTTGGAGTGACTTAGGGACTACAGAGCATGAAAGGGCCCAAAGTGCCCAGTTAGGGAGGTGACTTGCCTAATGCCATGCTACCACGGGTGTTCTTACCGGGGATTTTCAGGCTGAGGTCACAGTGAGTGCCAACATTGGCAACTGAGGGGGCTCTTCGTCGCCGGGTGATACTTTCCTTTACTCGGCCCTCACCAGTCACTTTGACAGAGAAAGGGCTGCCTGCAGAAGGCAGAATTCATTCATGTATTACATCCTATCTCCTACCCTGCCCATTGCCTGCTCCTACCCTTTTGGCCAGTGGCTAGGGAAAAGGGGTAGGCACACTGGGTATATTATGGGCATAATCATGCCAACACACCAGGAAGTTGCTAGTCAGCCTGCCTCCCTTGGCTGGTCTGTCCTGGAGTGGCATGTGTGCATACATACTCATAGCTGACATCAGAAATGCCTTGGATATCTCTCTCTTTCTCTCTCTCTCTCACACACACACACACACACGCACACACACACACACACACACACACACACACACACACACACACACACACACACACAAATTACTTCCCTAGGCAGCTTAGGCTGGGGCCTGCTGCTCACCTGGGACATGCTGGTCAGCAAATTTAATGTTGATGATGTAGTTTCCAGGTTCTGTGGGGCAGTAGGTGACCTTGCAGGTACCATCTTCCAAGTCCTCAGTATTGATATCAACTTTGCTGGGACCCTCGATGGACAGGCTGAGCCCTCCATAGCCTAGACCAGACAAAGACAAGGTCCAGCCCACTTGTGCTCCCCTCCCCTTGAACTTGCAGTCCAATGAGGATGCTGCGTTTCTTAAGCTCCTTGGGGGTTCCCTTCCCCACCCTCCCAGTCCAGATAGTCACAGTCACCTGCATCCCGGGTGTCAATGATGAACTCTGCTGGTTCAAAGGTACGGCCTTCGTGGAGGCCTTGGCCAGAGACACGTACACGACTGGCATCCCCAATCTCTGACTGACTGATCATCACTGTGATAGGGCTGTTGGGGACATGCTGCCCATGCTTCTTGACATTCACGAGATGTTCTCCTATCTCCTTGGGAACGAATGAGATCCCTGGGACGGGGAGAACAGAGCCCACTGAACAAGGTTGGGCATCTAGAGAGGAAGACTAAGTCCCATTAGGTTGAAAGTCACCATGGCGTTCTGGCAGGCAAGCTCCCTCTAGCTTCCCACCCCTGCTTCTCCAGCTGTCTAGAACATCTGGTTGTATCTCAGTGGCCCAGGTGTCTCATCCTCACCCCTGGGCTAGTACCCTCTCTCGAGAAGCATGGCTCATTAGAAGCCCTGAGGCTCTTGAGGCAGGGCCCATGTTCATGGGTTAGGGAATACAACAATTCCTAGCATCACTCATGTCCATGTAGGGAAGGCTCTTAGAGGGGATCACTCAATTCCCCATGGAGGAATCCCAGAATCCCACAGCCAGAAGGAAATTCATTGGCCAAGCTGGACCTAAGAAACTGATCTCTCAAAGGGAGCCACCACCTCCTGAGGGACTGTCCCACTCTGAGACTGCTCTCTGGTTGGGACAGCCTCACTGTGCCTGCCCCCCAGTTCTTCTGGTTCTGCCACTGGGGACCAAAGAGAATAAGCCTACCCCCTCAGCCACATGAGAGCCTTGCAGATTAAAGGGAATGAGTGAATCACCCCCGATCTTTCTTTTTCCTGACAAAACATTCCCAATTCCTTTAACCATTCCTTAGATGCCACAGACCAAGGCCTAATCATCCTGGCTGTCATCTTCTAGACTCCAGCTTATCAATCTCCCTCTTAGCTAAACTTCCGATGGGGTCCAGCCAGGACAGACCAAGGAGGCATGGCTGCCCTCACTCCCAAGTACTCACATCTTTAGTAAATGTAACCCACAATCCCATCTGGCTGCCCTATTATACTGCCTGCTGACTCATATTAAGCTGGCAGAGGCCCTAATCTTTTCCCTGTGAATCACTACCCACCCCTCGTCTTCCCTTTCTGTCTAACCCTGCCCTCCACCCTATACACCCGTGGTTGATTGGTTGGAACCCAAGCCAAGACTTTTGGGAAGGGGAAGGGAAGACCCTCTTTCATTTCATTCTGTTTGATTTAGCCTTATGTTTTAGGCCTGCCTATGAAGCTCTTTTCGGACTCTGACTCTTTCACCACCATCGAGGTCTGGTGCTGACAGACATATATCATCGAGCATTCCATCTCTGACAAGCGGTCATCTAACCTCTTCTTGAACACTAGCGGCATCAGGGCACTCACTACCTCCACTGGGCAGTTTATTTGGCTTTGGGACAGATCCAGTTACCAGCAAGTCCTTCCTTATACTTGGCTGTAAACTGCTACCCTGGGACTTTCTCCCCAGTGTTCGTAGGGATAGGAGAGCAAATGGGAGCTTCCTAACCAACATGGCCGTTGCGCAGTCTCTTGAGCAGGCAGGGCTCCTCTCGGCCTGATGGGGGCACAACAGTTGCAGTGAGCTGGCTGATGTCTGTCTCAGTGATGTTGAGGGGAATGTCAGCAGCAGAGCCCACCTTCAGGTGAGACATGCGCATGGAATCATCACCTGTGGGGAAGAATGACAGAGCTAGAAGTAAAACAAAGCCTTGGCCCATCTCTTCATCGAGGACATTTTCCTTGATTAGATATGAAGGGGATATACGTTCAACTTGAAATTCCACATTTTGCTACTTTCCAGGGGAGAACTGGCCCAGGGGTGGTGTGATAAGTGTTCATATGCACTGTCACATGACTCACAGCAAGTCAATTCCTTTCCCTTGACCTTAGTTTCCCACATCTTTAATATGGGATTTAATGACTAAGAGTCCTCTGACTGGTCTAGGAGCATGGAGGTTCCCTTGTCCTCCCCAACAAAGGATGGCCTCATTTAGGCCTCTTCTCTTCCTAGTTCAGTTCAGCCCTGCCCTGCCCATCCTGGACCAATACCTGTGATCTTGGCCGTGAAGGGGCTGCCAGGAATGTGCTTGTCATTATACTTCACCAGGATACTGTAGTCCCCTGGGAGGACTGGGAGGTATGAGACAGTGCAGGTGCCATCCTGGTTGTCTGTACAGCTGATGTCAGCCTTTGAAGGACCCTCAATGGCCAAAGACAAGCCCCCTAGAGAAGACATACCATAAGCCCAGAGGGTCCAGGGAGGAGGAGAGATCTTGTGCCATACTGGCTGGACAGAGCCCTGAGTCTTTCAGGGATGACCTGAAGGCCCAATCCAATCCAACGAGCCTTTGTTAAGCACCTATGTGTCATGCACTTACGTGTGCATGTGCATGCATGCGTGTATACACTCACTCACACACACACACACACACACACACACACACACACACACACACACACACGGAATCCAGTACTGGGGAAATAAAACAGTCCCTGCCCTTTGGAGCTTACATTCTAACGAGGAGGAGGAGGAGGCGGCAGGGAATACATTATATTATAATATGTGAGGAGAGCATGCTACTATCTAGGAAGAAGAAATGGGGCTAGGGCCCACTGTCTCATCATGACACATGTCTATAGGGCTCAGTCACACTGTGGAGATTTCAAGAAACAGCCCTGTGCTGTTAGGGAGGAGTCCTCCATTTGGTAAGAATTTCCGGGAAAACCAGAAAGCAGCTTGACAGACTACTATGGTCAAACTTTCACCTTACACCATACACTAATTGTGACCTGAATGTTAGAGACCTCAGGTCAGAGGCTGGGCTCATAATGGTATCAGTGAAGCAAGAAGCTTCTTGGGTGAAAGCAGGCCGCCACCTCCTCTGCGATTTAGAGTGCTGAGAGGCTTGCCCAAGTTTACATAGTCAGTATGTGCCAGAAGTACAATTTGATCCTAGGTCTTCCTGTTCCAAGACCAGCTCTCTATCCATTAGGCCACACTACCACTCCATTAAAGAGGATAGCATAAAAACAATGACAAAAGACAAAAGGAGATCTGGGACCTTTCACAGCTATGGTTGGGAAGTGAATGCAAATAAACAAGGGAAGGTGGCAATAATAAAAAAAAAGATGTCATTTCAATTAAATGCAATCAAAAAACCTTTGAGTTAACATGACTAGGGCAAGAGGGGGATGGGTGACTGGGGAAAAATCTTTGTGCCAAATGTGTCTGACAAGGGGCTGATTTACAAGGTCTACAGGGATTAACAAGAATAGCTACAATCAAAAACCATTTACAGGGGCAGCTAGGTGGCGCAGTCACCTAGGAATGCCAGAAAGGTAGTTTGGGTGGAGATCCTGGTCAAGCTTAGACTCCATCCCATTGGCAATAGGAGCCACAAAAGCTGGAACTAGGCAACAGGCCTCACTACAAAATGGTAACTAGATGGGGAGGAGAGATTAGACAGGTCCACACCTGGCAGTTCTCAATTCTTAGAGGGCTGCTTTTCCCCTCCTATTCAGCAGTCACCCTTCCCATCCCTCAGGCCTCCCTTTGGTTCATGTGTTGTCTGAAAATTTCTACTCAAAGTGGAAGGCAGAAGAAGACAGGGCCCCAAGTTGACTCTAAACTTAAGGAATTGATTCAGTCTCTCTGGCCCCACCAAGGACCATTGCCTCCTATACCTGTAAAGTCTTATGATCTGGCCTAATAGACAACTCTAGGGCCCACTCCCAGCTCTGCCACTAACTCACTGGGGGACCTCAACACAGGTTCATTACAGGGCCTGAGTTTCTTATATCTATAGGAACCTGTAATTTCATCAGTGTGGATCCCCACCCCCCCCAACTGGAACTTGCTCCAATTTGTATCAGAAGTAGGGCCTGAAGCAGGGTCTTCCTGAATTGGAGGCTGGACCTGGCCCCCCTATCCACTTTGACCACTATCTGTAACTTCAGAGAACATCTGCCCTACAACCCCGAAGACCAAGATGAAAAGGTACTGTGCAAACCAAAACCAGCCAGAGGGCAGCCCTCCTTGCCCCTACTGCTTCTTACCTTCCCCTGCATCCTTGGTGTTGACAGTGAAGATGGCTGGTTTGTTCACTAGTCCATGAGTTAGGCCTGGTCCATATGCAGTGACATGACCACTGTTGACATAGTCCACGTAGAACTGCAATGGGCTTCCTGTGGGTAGGGTTAGGGGCTCAGCAAGGCTGGATCTTTGTTGCCCTAGAAGCTGGAGCCCACCCTGCTGCTTTCGCCAACCTAGGAGGTGGGCTCACTTAGCTGCCTTCTGCCCCTATCCAAGTGGTGAAACCTGTCTTAGCCAGGCTTCTCCAAAGCTTCACAGGTTCTGTCTGCCCATAATGCCAAAGGCCACTGGACCACTCAGCACCAAACGCATTAGCAGTCAGGCCCACCTGGGATGTGCATGCTGTCATAGCGTATGTCCATCTCATGCAGGCCTGCCTCGGTGGGGGCGTAGCGCACAGTCACAGTGCCGTCCTTGTTGTCCGTGATGGACGGCTTTGCCACCTGGCCTGACGGCATACGAACCTCCCCTGCAGGGACCAGAAACCTTAGAGATGGCTAGAGAGGGCCTCACTCATCCCCCATGAGGAGGAGCTGGCAGTTGGCCCAAAGGCCCACAGCCAGGCTCTGGCCCTCCTCTTCCCTTGCATTCCTCCTCACCTGTGATCTCTCCTTTCTTGATGGTAAAGGGGATGACCAGGTCAAAAGGCCGCAAGCCAGTGACGTCGAGCCCATTCACCCCCACCAACGGCTCTGCTGCCTATGAAGTGAAAATAGAGATAAAATGTCCCAGGTTACGGGTGGCAGCCATGAGAGAAGCAGGGCTGTGCTAGGAAGAGGAGGGATGAAGTAGAATCAGATTCAGTGGGGCCCATGGAAAGAGACAATGTCTCTCTCCTTCTTCCCCCAAATTGGGATTTCTTCTTGTCCTAGTCCTTGGCCAGAAGCTGAAGTTAGGCCCATGGAGGACAGACTAGCCTTCTGGCTGGCCACATACCATCCTAGCTCAAGCCCAAATGCTTTGAACAGATGCCCAGTGACCCCTGTCTTGCTCATTTGCCTCAGGAGTTCCACAGATCCCAGATGTTTGGTCTAGTAGACTATAAGCTTTTTGAGGCCAAGGACCATTTTAGTTTTGGTCTTTATACCCTCAGCCCAGCATTTATACCAGACTCCTTATGACTGAATGTCTTTCCAGTAGGAAAACTGAGGGCCCACTGAAGGTGGCTAAGTGACCTCTCCCCAGTCCACTGAGGAAGCTGCAGGTCCTTCCTGCTCACCATCCTGCAGACTGAGCTCCTACAGTCTGACTGTTCTGCTGGGGAAGAAGGGTCAGCAGAACCAAAGGCCCATATGCTAAATGGTCCAGGCCCTTGGCTGAGAGCAGCCCTGGTTCTGTTTTTGAGGAGAGCAAATGGACTCGTACCCAAGGTTGCTGGACACCTGGTGCATATGAGTATGGGGCTGACAACTGCTGGGTATGCATCTGTTGAGTGGTGGGCTGGTCTCCATCCAAGGCCTGGTGGGAGAAAAGAAGGCCATTAGTAGACAGGCCAGCTGGAACCACCTGGGATGCCCTCCATCTGGAACACCTGAACCCTGGACCAAGAGACAGGCCACTGATGCACAGGGCCTCACCATGTTCAACTAGAGGAGAAAAAGGGAGGGGAGGGAAAACAGGAAGCAGCCTCATTTTCAGCCTGCCCCAGAGCTAGGCCTCAGCTGGAAAGCACCTGGCTACCTGGAAGCTGGAAAGGATGCAGCACAGGATGTCAGAAAGTGCCAGGCAGGGCCTCCCCTTGGAAACCAAAGGGAGTGGTTTGTTACACCTGACCTGGATTCCTGTCCCTGGGGTCTCCAAAGTCCAGGTAAAAGGGGCTCTGGGACAACCCAGTGACAAAGGGTCTATCTACCGCACTCTCACATGGGGAGACCTATTCCAGGACAAAGGAGGCCACAGCACTGAATCCCCAGCTTGGAGCCCAGGAGAAAGAAGAAAGACTTATGCCTTCTGGATACACCATATGAAAAGAGCCCAGCCAACAACTTTGGGAAGAGACAGACAGACATGTAACACACACAGGATCACAGCTGTAGAGGCAGACCAGTGTGGTCCTCATGGCCACCCCTGTCACTTGAAGATTAAGGAAAATGAAGCCCAGATTAAGGAACGGTCTTATCCAAAGCCATAGATACTAAGAGGTAGTGAGGAGCCCAAGTCTTTAGAGCCTCAACCCAAAGTCCTCCATTCCACTGCATCATTGTTCTACCTCTCACACCTTCTTGAAGCCAATGAAGGGATGAGGGTAGGACAGTGTGAACACCCACCCCCAGAGGCTGGGGCCTTTGTCCACTGAAGCAGGGGGAGTGTTGTCCCAGGAATGACCAAAGACCCCCAAATCCCAAACATGCACACTGTTGGGAACCAGGGGAGCCCAGCAGAGGAAGCCCCACATCCTTTGACTACTCCCTCAAGGCCCAACTCACCATGACCTGGAAGGGGCTATTGGGAATGTGCTCGCCCCCGAAGCGGACACAGATGATGTATTTGCCTGGCTGGGGGGCCGTGTAGAAGATGTCAAAAGTCCCATCTTCGTTCTCTACTACGTCCACGTCTACTTCTGTGCCATCGGGGGTACACACTGTGCACGTGACCTTGCCTTTGCCAGCAGCCTTGGCATCCACAGTAATCACCGTCTCCTCGCCAATCTGGATGGTGGGGCCGATGCCAGTGCCTGGTGTGGGGCAGGGGCAGGACAATGAGCCTGGGCCTTTGGCTGATCCTGTGGTTTCCCCCCCTCCATGACTCCCCAAGCACAGCCAAGGGAGCCCCCAAGGGGAGAGGGGGAGGAGTTTCTCAGTGGGCAGGAAAGTAGCTCCTTCTCCATAATGTTGGGGCAACCCTGATCCAGCAGACCTGCCTTCCTCGGAGTGGGCAAGGCCTAGCTGTTAATCAGAGTCTCCAAAAGGTTGGGGGAGCACTCTGGGGTGCCTGGGGGGCTGTGTGAGGGGCAGTCTCCAGCCCAGTGGTAGCAGTGAGTGTGCATCATCAGCCCCTCTCCACATAAAGATGGGCACATGCCCTGGCAACACAGCTGCCTTCTCCCTCCTCTCAGGATTTGCAGAAGGACTTGAAGAGAAACCCTTGCCTCAACAGCAGTGTGTGGGGCGCTGAGGTTCCAAGTGAAGTTTTGAGTTTCCTGACGACTGAGAATGCTCACCCCATGGGAGATGCCAGCACAGCCAGGCATGGAGCAGGGCAGGGGAGCCAGGCAGGGCCCGGGTGAAGTGTGCAATAAGAGGAGGGGTTCAGTGAGATTTGCAAGGCTCAGCGGGGTTAGCGCAGCAGTAGTGGTGATGGTTGCAGGGAGGGAAAGAACACGCACTGAGAAAGGGGCAAAGCAGCAGTAGTAGCAGCTGCCTAGTGGGGGGGCGGGGGGGGGCGGCCCTGCAGCCTAATGGACAAGGGCCTGGCAGTGACGTTTGAGAGCAAAGGACCAAGTGCTGGGGGCACTCCAGGGCTCATCTCCTTGTTAAATGGGAAGGTCTAGAGCTGAGCAATCTCTGTGCCATCCCTCCACCTGGAAGGTACCTTCCCCCCACCTCCCCACCCCCAGCAATTGCTGAATGGGATTGAGAAATCAGTGTTGAAGAGCATCTGGACAACTGCATGGGTGGGTGGTCAGCGGGACCCCTGGCTGGGAAGGTAAGGCTGAACTCCTGGCCCTTTTACTGAGGGCCCAAGAATGGCTCGTGAGATCTTACTAGACCTATAATTTATGAGCAAGCACCCACTGTGCTCACAGGCAAAGGGCCACTGAGGGGGTCATTTGGCCTTGCCTCAACTCTGCTTGGGGACAGGCAACAACTTAGGGTACCTGTCCAACCCACAGGGTGAGCAGGCAGCTCTGGGGAGGTCGAGCTCCTTTTTGCTCCCCTCACCTGTCTCCTGCAATGGTTCCATTGCTTTTCCAGGTACCCTGGCTTCATTCTGCCCCAGCCCACTTGTAGCTAATATATGTCTACCTCTAAATGCTCCTGGGTACTGACAGCTCAACGCACTGGGGGTGGCCCAGCCTACAGCAGCTGTCCTCCTCTCCATGCCCACTGTTCAAACCCCTGGGGTTTTCTTAGCAGCACTCTCAGGCTTGTGGGCTCCTGAGGTGAGTGACAAGCAGGATGAGGCCCTCCCTCAGCGGCCTGACCTTGGCCTCTCCAGCTTCCTTTTATACCTGCGCTCTGAACTACCTCTCCCTTGTTAGGGCCATTCTCCTGGCCCTGCTTGCCTCCTCTTCTGTAATTAATCCATTCAAAGCAATACACCAAATGTGTATTTTGCCATTCCAACGGAGGCGCAGATTCACCCATTTGACACCCATCCCAATGGAGGCACAGGGCCACCTATTTGACACCCATCCCAATGGAGGTACAGGGCCATGTATGTGATACCCATCCCAAGGGAGGTGCTGGGCCCTGGGAGTACGAATGGGAGATGGTTGCTGTCCTCAAGGGTTTTTTCCTCCCCCAGCAGAGAAGCTGGAATGTGCATGAACGTGGGCTCCCCATCTGGCCTAGCCTTCAAAGCCCAACTGCAGACCTCTTCCCTTGTAAGCCATTCACTCCCCTAGGGTGGTGCCCATAGCCTCACAGCTTTTCTCAGGTGCGGCCTAAGCCTTATTCCTTTCTGACCTCCCCAAACTCTCAGGGCCCTTGGGTCACATGAAGCAACGTCACTGCTTGGGCTTTGAGGAGCAAGGGGTTAGTGGGGTGGGAGCAGGGGAGTGCAAGAAGATGCAGAGCACCATCTCCTGCCATGCTGGCGGAGCCACCTCCCCAGCAACACCCACCTCCCCTGCCATGCACACCCAGGATAAGGACCCAGGCACCCCCGGAGGTGGGAATAGGAGTCTGCGGATCCGGCCAAGGCTGGGAAGGGGAAGAAGGACTGCTTTGGACCAGGGGCAGGTCAAACCAATACTCCCTCAGTCCTTTGGATCATAGCCCTTGGGGAGGGTAAGGCAGGGTTTCCCCAGCTAGCAAGGAAGAGAGGGAGGAAGGGAGGGATGAGAGGGAGACAGCTGCCCTTGGAGGGGAAGGGAGAACAGGAGGAGGTGACAAGGGTCAGGGAAGACAGAGAGCCAGGTGCCAGGCCCAGCTTCCCTGGGAAAAGGGGCAGCGTTTGTGCCGAGATCCCCAGACCCCAAGGCTCCCTGGCAAGGATGGTCCCTCTGGATGCCCCCAACCCAAACAGCTCACAGCCGCTCCCTAGAGAACCCTAGGGCCAAGGGGGGAGCGTATACTTCCACTCCTGGCCTTGAAAGGGAAGCGACTTGCCTGAGGCCGTGCAGAGGTTGAGCTGAGCTAGGGCTCAGAGAGCTTTTCCCCCCAACCCAGAGTCTACCCTCTCTTTGCCCCCCCAACATTGCCCAGAGTGGCTGCAGCTGTGAACGGTTTGAGGGGAGCTGGGACAAGCAGGAAAGGAACCTGTCCCTCTGGACAGGGATGAATTTGGGGTATGCACCAGCAAGCAGCTTACCTAGCCCGTGACCTCCGATTGACACTGAGGTGAAAGGGCAGAGAGCAAGGAGAAAGGTCAAGTGAGAAAACCAGGTCACACAAGGTGCCAATGCCACCTGCATACCCACACACGCGCGCGCGCACACACACATCTGCACACACAGACAACTGGGGCGGGCGGTGAGCAGCGGTGAAACAAGGGGTGTCTGTAAGAAAGCGAGTGTCTGCGGGGCTGCTGACCCGACCTCGGCTTGGGGGGAGAGGGCCCGCCAACCCCTCCCCCCGGGGGCACAAGGCCCCATACCTGCCAGTTCTCTCACCTGTCACTGTGCACTTGCTGGCGTCCCCCATGGGCAGGGCCCGGACGCGGTATGGGGACAAGGGAATCTCGTCACCCCCATACTTGATGAGAATTGTGTATCTGCCTGTCATGTCAGGGACGTAGGACACGGTATAAGTGCCATCCTGATTGTCCTGGATCGTTGCCTTCTTGGGTTTCCCTTCAGGGTCCTGCCATGAAGAAGGAAGCCAGAGCATGAGGGGGTGCTCCCTGAACCCTGCCCTGTCCACCATTCAGGATGCAACTCCCCAAAATGTCAATGTCAGAGATTGAGAACCGGGATTTTAGCTCAGCCAATCCAATCCTTTCATTTTACAGAGGAAGAAACTTAAGCCTTGGGGAAGTTGCCCAAGGTCCCATAGGTAAGAAAGCAGTTGAGGCAGGATTTGAACACAAGCCAGAGAAACCTAGATGTAGAGCTGAAAAGGACTTCAGAGATCAGACCCCAACCCCTTTATTTTACAGATGAGGAAATTGAAGGTCAGAGAGGCTGATGTGCTCAAGTTCAGACAGAACCAGATTTTGGACTTCTCCACTCTAAGTCACTCTTAACCCAAGGCCCATGAATTGATTTTTAACAAATATTTTGATGACTGTATCTCAACTTAAGTGAGTTCCTTTCTGATCCTATCCCTTTACAAATCCTGATTCTCTGAAGGGAAGGCTCTCTCAAACCTCAGACAACAGGGCCAAGGGAGGAGCTAGGACACGCCCCTTGGCCCAAGAAACCTTCCTGCCCTAAACCCAGCTCTATTACAACTGCTCCACACTCCCATTCAGGCCACAGAGGGCCCCACTGGAGAAGCCAGCTCTGAGGCCTTCTGGGACATGACCATCCCAACCAAGCCAGCAGTCAAAGAGCCCTTAATTGAGAGCAGCAAAGCAAAGAACTTTAGAGAAAGGCTAGACTGATGAGGCAGATCACAGATGAGAGGCCTTCTCCTCCCAGGCTTGGTTCTGTACCACCCAGGCTGCCCTTCATGCACCATTTTTGACTCCCCAGGAAGAGTTCCCTGAGGACAGGGTCCACGTCCAACCCCTACTGTACCCCTATGCTCTCTCTCACTTGAGGCCCTACAGGCCCTCCTCACTGCCGCAACCCCTCAGTGGACTCTTGGCACAGAGGTCTTTCCCACCACATTAATGGCACGTTTAGCTATCATTTGTTCACCTACTTCAAAAGCACTTTCCTCATAAATAATCCCCCAACCAGGCAGGGGTGTATTGTTAGCCCTTTTTTGTAAGCAAGGCAACGACATCAGAGGTGAAACATCTGTCCCGCTCCCCCACTAGTGGGGCACTTTCTTTTGGTCTGGGACCCAGTTCATGGAACTTAATAATCAACACTTGTTGAATGAATCCCAAGGTGGGGCTAGTGACTATGTGAGCTGACCCCTCACACACACAGAGGCCCCCTGCTTCCTAACCCTGGCCAGCCCCACTGCCTCCCATTAATCTAGGAAGGACTCTCCCCACCCCTCATTTTGCAGGCTGGCTTTGTAGCTTTTGTAATCAGCTGGGTGAACCCCACCTCCCCCCAAGCTGACCAACCCACCGTGATCTGGACAGCCAGCAGGCCTTCGCCTGCATCCTTGGCATCAATAGTGAATTCTACAGGCAGGCTGGCAGGCACACCCGTGGTGTTGAGCCCAGGGCCACTGGCCTTCACCTTGCTGGCATCATGGGTGGGTAGAACCTTGACCTTGAAGGGACTAGGGAGTTGAGGTAGAGAAACAAAACAAAACTCCCGTGAAGATGCACAATCTCCTAGAAGGGCTACCATCCTGACCTGTATAAACTCACCAGCTACAGGAGCCCTCCCTTTGCCTACATCCAATGACCTTCAGGTCTGGACAACAGTACCCAATGACCACCCCCAACTCACAGAATCTCATCCCCAGGGCCACACAGAATGGAGAGGCAAGCATTTCCCATGCCCTTCTGGAGCACACTTTCCAGATAACCCTTCCTGATTATTCTCCCTATTGCTAACTGTGCTCCATACCTCCTTGTCCCCAAGAGCCCCTCGTAGGGAGGGTAGCATTCCTTCAGCATGGAGACTCTGTCCGTCCGTCCATCCCCCCCTCCCATATGCCAACGCTGGCCTCCTTGCTTTCTAAAGCGGGCTGGCTCCCTCCCCAACCTAGGGCATATTTACCTCCTAGGAACCTCCTCATCTCCATAGAGCACTGAGATGCTGTACGGGCCCTCCCGGCTGGGCACATAGTTGACTGTCTTTGTACCATCTGCATTGTCCACCACATCCACAGGCTCTACTATTCCTGTGGGATCAGAAGAGAATATATTGGGCATAAGGCTGGGTGAAGAAAATGGGCCAGGCTGCTTTTTACACCCCACCCTCCCCAAACTCTCTCAGCATTACTTCTGCTCCAACTTGGGGCCAAATGCCAACTAGGCAGTGGGGCCAGCAACTGGCCCCTGCTCAGGCCATTGGGCCAAAAATAACCTTCCTATCTTTGTCACCAGGCCTCAAAGCCTGCCTGGCTTGTACAGGCCTCCTTCTCCCTTCCTGACGCTGAAACCATCTCCATTTAGCCAAATCTGCAAGTCTAGTCAATTCTGCCCCCAAATTCCCCTTCCAGCCTTATCCCAAAGGACTTTTATAAAAGCCATACGTTGGCACCTTCACTGGAAGCATTAGTTCTTCTCTCCCCTCCAAGTGCTGTCCATTTGCTAATCCAATGACTCTACACTAAGCCTTTCATAACTGTACTCTTCAAACTCTTACAATGGAGCCACCCATGCATTTTTGAGGCAGTGGGGTGGTATGGTCGATAGAGTGCTGGGCCTGGAGTCAGATCTGAATTCAAATGAACCTCAGACACTAGCTGGGACACTGGGCAAGTCACTTAACCCCTCTCTGCTTCAGTTTCCTCACCTACAAAATGGGGATCATAATAGCCCCTACCTCTCAGAGTTGTGGGGATCAAATGAGGTAATATTTATAAAGCACTTAGCACAATGCCTAGCACACAGTAGGAACTTAATAAATGCTTATTTCCTTCCTTATAGCACTTGGTCACTTGAGCCCATGCTTTGGAGGCCCTCCTGTACCATGCAATGGCTACTATGCAACCCCTTCCTCGTTCCCAAGTCAGCTGCCTATGTACTTACCCTTAGGCCCCTGAACCTTGACCTGGAGTGGGGCCACGCCGGCCTTACTGGTGTCAACCTGGAAGGACTGAGGAACATTGGCACGGACCACTCCAGGGCTCAGCCCAGGCCCTGAGCACTTCACCTTGGATGAGTCGGTCACATCATGCACAGGAACCTTGAATGGGCTACCTGTGGGGGCACAGTGAGGAGAGGCCCAGGAAAGGGTGAGGGAGCATGAGACACCAGGCCCTAGGGCCAGATGGGGCAAGGCCACTCACTTCCATGCCCCAGCTGGCTTCCCTCTCTCTCCCATGTGGCCAGAGAGTGGCAGCAGAAACCTAGAATCTCTGCATGGAAGGCCTCTAGGGCGAGGCTGCCTCAAGAGTGCTCCTCATTCTAACTTAAAATATTAGAAAGGCCTAAATTTACCTTTCAAGCTTCTAGTTACTGGCTTGGGTTCTGTCCCTTAAGACAGCCCTTCAAACAACTTTTAGACAGCAATCACACTTCCACCCAAATCTTCTTTTCCCTGTTCTTCTACCCCATTTTCTTGCATATGGCACAGACCTGTGGCCCTTCTCTGTCCTGACTGCCCCCCTCTAGATGCTTGCTCACCAGCTTATCCATGCCCTTCTTAAGCCATGGTGCTCAAAACTAAACTGCCTACTCCCCATGAGGCTCTGACCAGGGCAGAGGACAGCAAGACCTTCCCAGGCCTGGAAGCCCTGCCCACTCACACTGTACTTGTGAGACCCTAAACCCCCAGATTTTTTCAGGCACACACATTAAACACAGGTCCCATTACCTGGCACCTGGTGGCCGCCATAGGTCACATTGAGGTTGTAGGTGCCCGGCTCATAGGGCACATACTCCACGGAGCAGCTGCCATCCTTGTTGTCCATGCAAGACATCTTGGCTTCTGATGGGCCTTCCACAGCCAGACCAAGGCCTCCCGTGCCTGCACCCCTGGAGGCCCCAAGGAAACAAACAGTGTCTACCTAGCTGAAAAACTTCTGCTATGCCATGGTCTCCCTCCACCCCCATCCTCCAGGTATATCAAGGCTACCAGTAGGCAGCTGACCCCAGCTGTCTCCTGTACCTGGTCTCCACAGTGAATTTGTTGGGCTGGTTGGTGGTACCGCTTTGGATGCCTGGTCCATGAACACGTACTCGGGACGGGTCACAGCCCTCAGTCACAGGCACTCGGAAAGGGCTGCTGGGCACAGGGCTGCCATCATAGGTCACATCTACTGAGTGGACCCCTGAGCCAAGGGAAGAGGAAAGCAGTGGTTGACCCTGGAGAAAGCTAGGCCCCCACCTTCCACTCCTCAGGCCCTAGGCCCTCTCCCAGAAAGCCTCACTGCCTCCTCCTCTCTCCTTCCTAGAGGTCCATGCCCTCTCACTTTACCTTCCTCATAAGGTGTATATTCAACTTTATAGGTTCCATCTCCATTGTCTTGGATATAAGCATCAGTCAGGTTGCCTGAGGGATTAGCAACTCGTGTCTTGATGTGGGGACCCCCAGCTTTGGTGAGGGCTCGAGCGTCCACATTGAACTCTGTGGTGGCTTCTCGGAACACCCCTGCAAAGGTGTAAGGAACTGTAAGGGGAGGGTTCTGGCCAGGGACCTTATAGCAACCCTCAGGCTCTATCTATGTCAGAAGTGGAGCTGAAAGCTAGGAAGCTGCCATCCCTTGCCTTGCCTGGAGCTCCCCACAAGTGGCTGGCTGCCTTTCAGCATTGCTAAAAACAGCTGGAGCTGGCCCCACCACCCCTGCCACAGACACGACGGAGACATAAGTGGAATATGTAAAGGGAGGTGGAAAGTCTGGCTGAGAAGGGGGAGGGAGGCGCAGGCCCAATGCTACAGGCCGCCCACCTCTGTCCACTGCCCAGGAATGGGGAGAGCAGTTGTGGTGGGGAAGTCCGCTCTTTTAAGTATGCAGGTCCACCTTATGGCCTGAGCACCCCCAGTAGCATCTGGCACCTGAGACAGGGCTGCAGAAAACGCCCTCACTACTAACCTTTGTCTTACAAATGGGCAAAAATTCAGTTATATAGCTTGCCCTAATCAAGGGTCAGGGGCAATATTAAAAGAAGCAAGGTTTCCAGGCCTAGGCTAGGAGCTCTAGGCCACTGACAGCCTGGCTCCATTGAGATGGCAAGAGAGAGTAGGGAGGTAGGGCCCCAGTTGCTCAGGTCAACCCACCAACCAACACAGGTCAACTGGTTTCCCTCTGGAAGCTGTGGTTTCCTCACTGGGAGGGACGAAGTTATTGACTAAGTCCCTTCCCCTCACCTAACTTGATTACCAACAGTAATGGAACAAACAGGAAGAGAGACTACAAGCCACTAAAGCTAATCCAAGGGTTCCCCAAGATGAGAAAATAGGCAGAAACTGTGGATCCCAGGGGGATTTAGAGTCTATATTCCCAACTTGCCAATGGCTGAAGCTAGATTTGGAGTCAGATACAATGGAAAATGCTATCCACATTGAAAGAAAGAACAGATGGACTCTGAATGTAGATGGAAGCATACCATTTTCACTTTCATTTTTTCATGGTTTTCCCCTTCTGGTCTGTTTCTTCTTTCCCAACATGACTTATATGGAAATATGTTTTATTACATGGTTGCACAAACATAACCTATATTGAACTGCTTACCATTTTAAGTAGAGGGGAGGGAGAAAAATTTGGAACTCAAAATTTTGTAAAAATGAATGTTAAAAATTATCTTGCATATAATTGGGGAAAAAAAATAGTACTAAAAAAAAAAAGGAAAAACAAAAGATTTGGAGTCAGAGGCCCTGGCTCTGACGTATGACTTGGTGCCCCGAAGGTGGCCCTCACCTACCTTGGACTAGCTGATGGCTGAGGTCTCTGCCAGCTCCACAAACCAAGAGCTGATCCCACAGTAGGTGAGGGCCAGCTTAGGTGACCAGAATTGTAGAAAGGGACCTCGTCAACCATTTTCTAGGCTGACCTAACCTTCGCTCCACCCCACCCCCCATTCCTGCTTCAACACCAGAACAGGCCCAAGGGGTGAAACATGTTGCGAAGGGGAGACCAGCCCACTCTGGGAGTGTCCTGATATTGCTGGGGCTTCACTCCCTCCTAGATCATCTGCTCTGCCCTGGGGGCCCAAATCTTTTCTTCAAAGGACCTTGTCTTCAAAAACAGACTTCAAGTGCCCTCAACCTCCCCTCTACCCCTAATCCCTTAGGCTCTGTACTCAACAGCTTAAATACACTGGCTTCCTTCAAGCCTTCCTCCTGTTACACTTTGTCCTTCTGGCTACTCTCTTCTGGACACTTTCCAGCTGACTCTAACCTGAGGCCCCCAGAAGGGTATATGAGATTCCCAAGGGAGTGTAAGCAAAGAAAGTCCAGCACCTCCCTTGTCCTAGAAGTTGGCTGGGCCTCCCAGAAAGCAACCCTAGACTGACCTCAGCTTGCTCTTACAGCATGCCTGAGAGACAAAAGAAAATCAGCTTCCCATAACCCTAGAAAGGAGGGAAAAAAGCTGCCCAGGGACATGGGGGCTTACCTTTGCCCTCCACACCAGGCCCATAGCACTTGACACCAGTGGTGTCAACTGCTGGTTCTACCAGGAGCTTGCTGGGAAAGTTGGGGACCATCTGGCCTCCATACTTGATGGTGATGGTGTAGACCCCAGGATAGAGAGGGATGTAGGTGATGGTGTAGGTGCCGTCCCCATTGTCTTGGATGTGCACCTCTGCTTGCATGCCCGCATCAGAGCTGATTTCGATGGTAAGCTCGGCACTACCAGCATTGGAGCAGTCCACGCGAAACTGACCTGCTTCACCTGCTGTGGCCCGCTCCAGCCCAGGGCCTGAGCACTTGACCTTAGAGGGATCAAAACAGGGGGCCACATGGGCCTTGAAGGGGGAGCCTGGGATGTGAGTGTCAGCAAAGAGGATGTTGATGTTGTAATCCCCGGGTTCCGTGGGCAGGTAGGATACAGAACAGGTGCCATCCCCATTGTCCAGGCACTCTATCTTGGCTTCACACGGCCCCTCTACTGTCAGGCCAAGACCTCCTGTGCCTGCTCCCTTGGTGTCAATTGTGAAGGGAGCTGGGGAGCCAGCACTGCCCCCCTTCAACCCAGGCCCAAAGGCTTTCACCTGCAGGGAAGAAAACAGGAAAAGGGAAGTGAGGCAGGTAAGGCTGAGGCAGGTGGGTGACTAACAGACCCCAGAGGACTCCAAGAACTTCTCCAGCAAGGAGAATATGGCCTGAGAGTGAGAAGACCCTGCTTCTAGTTCTGGTCCTAACATGGGTGAGCTGTGGACTCACCTACCTCCTCAGCTGTAAACAGGATTAAGCACAGCTAGGGACTCATAAGGCTCTCGCACAGGGCCTGCAGGAGTCTCAAATGAACCACCCCCACCCCCACCACATATTGTGAGAGACAGTGCTTGCTTTTTTACTCAAATACACTTGGTAATCTCTATTCTCTAAAAACCGACCAGAAACATTGGAGATGTTGGGGGGAAGGGTTGCTTTTGTTTAGCAATGACTCTGGCTAGGTATGACCATTAGCTGACATCTGTGGAGACTAGAAGCAGCTGGGCATAGCACTGCCTACAAATGCACCCTCAAAAACCCCTCACTTGAACTGAACCTTCCTCGCTAACTCTCATCTTGTATCTCTTTTCTCTTTAGCAGTTAAACTCTTCGAGAACGCTGTCTACAATCAATGCCACTACTTCTCTCCTGTTAACTCTACAATCTCTAGCCTCCTCATTCCATCAAAACTGCCCTCTCCAAAGTTATTGATGATCTCTTTGTTGCCAAATCCTTTGCCTTTCCTCAATCCTCATGCTTGACCTCTCTGCAGCCTTGGACACTGTTGATCACTTTCTCCTCCTGGACACTCTCTTCTTTCTAGGTCTTGGGGACACCCCTCTCTCCTAGTTCTCCTCCCACCCCTCTGAGCCACCTTCTATCTCTTTTGCTGGGTCCTCCTCCAGATCACATCCTTTAACCAGAGGTGTCCCTCAGGTTCTGTTCTGGGCCCTCTTCTCTCTTCCCTCTATCCTACTTCACTTGAGGATCTCATTGGCTCCCACAGATTTAATCTCTATGTCGATGATTCTCAGATCTACCTTTCCTGACCCAATCTCTCTCCTAAGCACTGGTCCTCTATCGCCAACTTCCTATTGGGCATCTTGAAGTGGATGTCATGTTGTTGTTGCTGTCGAGTTGTGTCTGACTCTTCATGACCCCAGTTGGGGTTTTCTTAGAAAAGATACTGGAATGGTTTGCCATTTCCTTCTCCAGATCATTTTACAGATAAGGAACTGAGGTAAAAAGGGTAAAGTGACTTGCTTTGGGTCACATAGCTAGGAATTATCGGGGGCTGGATTTGAACTCAGGGAAGGCAAGTGTTCCTGACTCCAGGCCTAATGCTCTGTGCACTGCAGTGCCACCTAGCTGTCATATAGCCACCTCAAAATCAACATGTCCAAAACTGGACTCACTTATCTTTCCCCCAGAACCCTCTCTTATTACTGTCAAAGGAAATCATCCTCTAGTCATCCAGGCTTGAAACCTCAGTGTCACCTTGGACTCCCCACTCAAATCCATCCCTCAGATCCAAGTTGTTGCCAGGGCCTGTCCATCTCACCTCTGCAGCAATCGTGAATACATCCCCTTCTCTCCCCTGACACTGCCACCCCCTGGTGCAGGCCCTTACCATCACCTCACGCCCGGATTGTGGCAGATGGCCTCCTGGGTGAGGGTGAGGTCTATCTGCCTCTAGTATCTCCCCACTCCAGTCCATTCTCCATTCAGCTGCCTGGGGCACTCAAAATTCCAGTGGTGCTCTATTACCTCCAGGATCAGATAGAAATGCTTCTATTGGGTATTTACTACCTGACCCTTTTCTACCTCTCCAGTCTCCTTACATGTAACTACCCTTGTACTCCCCACAAAGACAACCCTGTTCTTGCTGGCCCTCGTACAGGACAGTTATCTCCAGGATCCTCTGCCTCTTTTCCCTAGGCTCTTTGGCTTGCCTTAAGACTCAGCTCAAATCCCACCTTCTACAGGAGACCTTGCCTTTCCCCTCTGAGATGATCTTTCCTTTACTCTGTATGTAACTAATTACATGTTGTCTCTCTCGTTAGAATGTGACCTCCTTCAGGGAGGGGACTGGTTTTTGCCTTTCTTTGTCTCTCCAGAGCTTAGCTAAAACAGCCTGGCACACAGTAGGAGATTACTAAATGAATATCTACTGACACCTTAGTGTCCTGGAAGTTTGAGTGCTACTAGGCCAGTAAACCAGGGTGACACGTAGCTTCCTAAAGGCCCTTTCATCAGGCCCGAGAGCTGGGTAGCTATTGGCTAGCTTAGTACCTTGGTGGGGTTGGTAGGTGGCACAGCCTCCACTGGGAAGGGGCTTCCAGGGACAGGAATGCTGTCATAGGTCACCTCCACTTCATAGGGGCCCTCTTCTCGGGGGATGAACTTGACCACACTGTTGTCTGCATTCAGGCCTGGCTCCACCTTGCAGGGCACCACCTTGCCAGAGGGGCTTGTGATCTTAGATGCCACCTTGCCCTGGCCCCCTGCACCCTTGGCCTTGACTGTGAATTCCTGGTCTTTGCCAACTTCCACTTCTGTGGGGACAGTGGGATACGTGTGTGCGTGTGTGCAATTGAGGTTTGTGTGTGCACATGTGCACACCCCAAACAAGTCTCAGGAGCAGATATGTGACTCCCTCCCTCCAAATGCTGATTTGTGATCAATGTGGTGGGGAAAGGATCTCAGCCTCCCCTAAACCACATGTATGCAGTCTCTTAGGAGGACAGGGTCTTGGAGAATGTCAATCCTCTGGAAAGGGGGAGGGGTTTCCATGGGATGAAGAGTCACATAGCCCTCCTCTCAAGTACTCACTGTCTCCTAAGCCGGACACCTTGATCTTGCTGAGGTCCAGGGTCTGGGCCACACCCACAGAGAAGGGACTCTTGGGGATATGATCCCCTCCATAGGTCACGTTCACACCCATGTTGCCCTGGATTGGGGGGAAGGAGGCAGCAATACTCAGCCCTTAGTTAACATCTGCTAAGTTCCTAGTAGAAAGAGGACTTCTTCACACCCTATGCCAGAACCCTTAGAACCTAGTTGTAACATTGCAAGAAACCAAGAGGCCTGCCTGTTGGTCCCAGCTCTGCCTATAACTCATGAGGTGACCTTGGGCCAATTATTTTCTTTCTCTTGGCCTCCTATCCTCTCTTAGATAAAATGAAGTAGGAGGTACTTAAGGGGCTCCTTTCTTGTACAATCTTGGGATTCTTGGCTCTGAGGCAAGGATCGCTCTGTTGCCCATATCTCCTCATTGCATAGCACTGCAATTAATAAATTAATAAATGCATTGAACCAAGTGCTTAAACAATTAATTGCTTATGGTCCTCATTCATGTTTGCTGAAATTTGTCGAGTTCAAAATCCAAAAGCAAATTTGAAAACAATAAAGCGATTGCTTAGGGTTAGGTTGAGTGGTACATCCTACAAGTTGGTTAAGGTGTCTGCAGTAGGGATGGAGAGCTGGCCCTGCCATCCCTAGAGGCCCCTGGGCCAGAGCCACAGGGCTTACCTGCTGCAAGGGGACATATTTAACGGTGTAGGTATTGTCATGGTGATCAATGACATCAAGATCCCGAACAGCCTCCCCCTTGGCTGGGCCTGTGAACTGGACATCTAGCTTGGCTTTTCCTGCTGGCTTGGCATTGACGGTAAAGTGAGTGGGTTTGCCAAGCTCCACACCTGATGAGAGAAGCGATGCCATGGGACAGCTGGAGCAGCTGCATTTCCTTTGGCATTACCCCTCAGATGGGACTCTTGGGGACATAGTCCCCTCTCTTGCCTCTCAGTGCCACCTTCCCTCCTTCCCTTCCTGAAAGCTGGGTGGACATACTGGCAGACCCACTTCCCAGGTGGCACAGCCAAGGGGGCACGAGGCAGAGGCTGATGGGATAGGCCCCTCTCTTCCTGAGCTGCCAAATCCCTCCTACTCCAGCCACTTACCATTCCTGCTCAGCCCGGGGCCCTCAGCCTTCACTTTACTGGCATCGTGGGCAGGGTCAACCTTGATTCGAATGGGGCTAGTAGGTGTGGCCTAGAAAGAAATGAGATGTTAAGCAGCAAGAAGCTCCCTCAGGTCTCCAGGGGGCCACAAGTCTCTGTCTCCTCTGCCCAGGGGTTCAGATTTAGGAAAGGAAAAAGAAGCCAGTAGCCACTCTGAGGAGTTTCAAGAACAGAGGCTAGACAGAGGTAGGTATTAACTGAAATCTGCCTCTTACAAAAATGGAGGAGAAAAGGATGGTTTCTGGAGAACAGAAATACATGCTTTTCTCTTGGTGGGGGAGAGGACTATTAGTGCATACAATGTCAGGGGGGTTGCTTTGTATTTGGAGGTTTGCTTTGGGGTGGGGTATGTGAAGAAATTCTAGAATGTTAAAAAAAAGTCATTTTTAAAAAGGAGAAAACACCAATACATTCAAGAATGGGGCCAGAAAGGGGGGGAAAGGTAGAGAAAATATGGAAAGGCTTCTTAGATTTGAGTTCAAGAGGCTGTGGGTAACTCTCACCTGGTTGGCAAAGAGAACCATGATGGTATAACTGCCTGCCCCCCGAGGGGTGTACTTGACTGTGAAGGTGTCATTGTCATTCCGGATGATGTCAAAGTCAATATCCGCCTCAGCTGGCCCTACTACTCCTGGGGCACACTTGATGCCAATGCTGACATCACCTGGAACAGGGCAAGGGCAAAGCTTAGAACAATATTGGCTAGATGTCTTCCCTGGCCCCTAGCTAGGCCAAGGCCACACTAGAGCCAACTTTGAATTCCTTCTTGTTCAGTAACATGGGCCGAGGAGATGGAAGCCAGGGTTTTCACTTCAGGCTTATTTTGGGGGCCTATAGAAATATGGGGCCTTGGAGAACAGAAGCTTCTAATGCCATTTCCTTGGGCCCCTTACTTTTCTCCCTGAAGGGGCCAATAGAAGGTTATAGTGATGAACAAGGAAGTCTAAGAAGGGGAAGAAGCCCATCTACTCCACCCCACTCCCATCTGCTTCATCTTTATATCAGCTCTCCAACAAGCCTCCCAATCTACAAGCTACCTCCACCCTACCCCACCCCCCAGGGTCACTCACCCTGCCCAGCTTCAGTACAGTCCACAGTGAAGTAAGTTGGCTCGTGGGCCTTGAGACCAGTCTTGGCCACTCCTGGCCCATAGACTTTTACCTTGTTAGGATGGCTTCCTGCTCCCACATTTACCTACAAAGACAGAAGGGGAGACAAAGGGGGAAGATGACAGGGAAGAAAGACAGGGTGCATTCCATGTATGGGGTAGGCAGGGGGAAATATTTGTACACACACAAAGGTGGGAGGTGACCATCTCCTCCAGGCACTAGGACAGTCTGGTCAGAATGTAATCAGTGAGGGGAGTCACGGAAAATCAATCTTGAAAGGTAGGCCGGGGGATTCATCCCAAGGGGGGTTTGGAATTGCCAACCTGACCAGATTGGTGGCCCAACCTCCAGGAGGTAGGAGGCAGCCACTGATGGAGGGTTTTTGAGCTGGGGAAAGAAGGGGTCAGGCTTGTTTGTTCCTTATTTAGGAAAACTGTTTTGGCAGCTGGGTGGAGATGGGGTGAGAGAAAGGAGAGACACAGGCAGCAAAGTCCCTTCATTCAGGCCACTCTCCTTCAAACCCTTAACAGTCTTCCTTTGCCTGAGCTGATGCTTCTGAAGGGCCTTTTCTGGTCCTTCTCACCCCCATTCTGGTGCTCCCTCCCTCCCTCCCCAAATTATCTTACATTCACTCATTTGCTTATATCTTGTTACCACCCCTACCCCTACACCACTCCAGAGGGAGGATGCTCCTTTCTCCTCCAGGCTAAGGGCCTAGCACCAAGTAAGAGCTCAATCAATGTTCACTGGATTGAATTCCAATATAAGATGAGGATCAGGGGGAAGAAAAGAGCTCCCCAGGACTCCTGAACAAGCATAAGTTCAATGGGAACCAGTGACGTGACCACTGCTAAGATAAAAAAAAACGAGTTGGCTTGGCCCCAAGAGCAACTGGCGTGCCATGGCTGGAGAACAATGTCTACAATGGCAGACAAAGCTGAGGAAATGGTTGGTTTTCTGGGCCTCAGCTTCCTATCTGTGAAATGGGAACCATAGCAGAACAGGAGCAGAGTGAGTTGTACTGGGCAGGGGAGGCCCTAGCTCAAATCTTCATTCTAATGCTTAAATAGGAGAGGGCTGGACCCGAATCTCCTCTGGCTCTAAACTCAGATTTTTGTGACCCAACATGGCTGACTCCCTGCATGATCTTAGCCAAGTCACCAAATCTTTCTAGGCCTGTCTCCTCTTCTATTACCCAGGGTCCCCAATTTCAGCTCGTGCAGAGATGGGAGAAGGGAGGCTCACCCGGTAGGGGCTGTTGGGGATATTGACCCCTCCCCAAGAGACCACAGCTGTGTGCTTGACTGCTTTCTTTGGGACATAGGAGCAGCTGAAGGTGTTGTTACCATTGTCCTTTACGATGACATCCACGGGGGAACCTTCACTGTCCTGAAAGGGGAGGAGAAGCAACTGAGCTCAGACAGTTTCTTTTTAGGGCTCCAATGCCAGCCCCTTGCTACTCGGCCCCATCTCACCTGCACTTGGACTTTGAGAGGGGCCTTGCCACCGTTCTTGGCATCCACAGTGAACTCAGCTGGTTTGTTGATGGCCACACCAGTCTTCTCCAGTCCTGGGCCCCGAGCTTTCACCTAAAATAAGTCCAAAAAGCATCAGACTCAGAGGCCCTTCCCTGAACAGGCTGAGTGTCTGGAGCAGTCAATTCCCCTTGACCTCAGCCCTGAGACAGCTAGCAGAGCTAAAGCATGAGGCTTTCCAAGGAAGCCATGAAAGTGCCCACTGAAATCCATCCCTTCTCCACCAGCCTGGCCCAGGAACCTCCAAAAGCTCCTCAGGGACCCAGAGCGGGTAAGCCAGGGTTCATAATTTGCATGTAGTGTGGGTCTAACAAAATGCTTCTTGGATTGAACCCCACATCCCTGGCACTGAGCTCCCCATGCCTTGGCAGCAACTCAATGGGAGCCGTGCCTCTCTCCTGAAGGGAAAGGGGCAATACGATCAAAGAAGGCAATTGGGGCAGCTTCAGAGCACTGCTGGCTGACCACTGAGACTGGCTCCCACTCTGGGACTCTCCCAAAAGCTATCCGCTGCCTTTCTCTCCAGCTTTGGCCTCTGCCCAGGCCCCACGATGAACCTGAGGCAAACACGGTAAAAAGGACTGGGCCACATGCATGTTTTCAGGAGGGGGTGATAAGTGAGGCAGGAGCCTGAGAGGTCACAGGCCATGCCCACTGTAGTAAGGCAAGGCTGGCCAGCCCGGTCCCCAGCACTGGCCTTGGGCATCATCTTCCTAGGGCCCAGCCCTCCCTCACCTTTTCTGGGTAAAAGTCCTTGGGGGCCGCCTTGATGTCAGCCATAAACGGGCTGAGTTTGATGTCTTCGTTGTTGCAGAGCACATGGACAGCGTACTCCCCAGCCTCCTGCGGCCAGTAGCGCACATCACAGGAACCATCGCCCCGGTCATCACACTCAATCTTTGCCTGTGAGGGGCCTTCCACTGAGAATCCTGGGTAGGGGGGGATTCATGGCAAGGCAATCGTCTGAGAGCCCGGATCAAGTGGCAGTGGGCCTGCCTCTCTTACCAAAAAGCCTTCCAAGGCAGAGACGATTTCTGAACTCCCACTGTCTGAAAGGGTCTTAGAGAGCCCTGAGTTTGAGGGAGGGCAAGTCTCTTGCTCAGACACACAATAAGCGAGCCAGGGTTTGAACCCATGTCTTCTACCACCCTGCCACCCCAATAATTCCTCTTTCTCTGAATCTAGTACCATTCTACTCAGGAACCATCTGACTGAATAGAGGATCCCTTCACTGTATATTCCTGATTTCTCCGCTAGGCTAGGGGGCATCCTGTAATGGGGCTTCATGCCATTTCTCTGGCCTCTTGCCCACACCCCAATTAGGGCAAATCTTCCCAAAGAAGGTGCCTTCTGACATACCCAAGGTGCCAACATCATCCCCAATGGCCTCGACCACGAAGTCAGCCGACTTGCCGACCACGCCACCCTCCAGACCAGGGCCCCAGGCTCGAACCTTCTGGTTGCCGCACTCTGTGCCCACCTTTACTTCAAAGGGGCTACCAAGAGGACACACATACACACAGCTGTGAGGAAAGCTGAACTCCTGCCCCACTCCATCCCCCTAGATGAGAAGGAAGACTATCCATTTTACATATGAGGCGTCTAAAGCTCAAGTTGGGGAATGGCCTTGCCATCAGGTGGCAAGCGTAGGAACCATGGCCGGATCTGACTGACACAGTAGGATGTAAGAGACAGTCTACTGCTCTCTGAGTTAGGAAACCCTGGGTTTGAATCCCACCTCTGACACTTGCTAGCTCTGTGACTTGGGCAAAGTCACTTTGTCATTCCAAACCTCAGCTTCCTTATATATCAAATGGGGAAATACAACTGCCAGGATTGTACTGAGGCTCAAAGGAGAGATATGTATGTATATAAATGTATATAAAATGTTATTGATACACAGCACTGTCACATGGGGATCATTTCTTGGGCTGTGGGGGTTCTACCATGTGACCTGATTTCCATTTTGTTCAAACAAGGAAGTCCAGAGGGGATAGACATCAGTGCCTGGTCATTGTCCCCAGCCTCCTCACCTCCGGGAGATGTTCTGACCGCCCCAGGTGATGGTGACTGTATAGTTGCCAGGGACGGGAGGATAATACTCAAAGCCATAGACGCCATCTCCGAGATCCTTCTGTTTCACCCGTTCTTCACCCTCTATTGGGGGGGGGGGAAGAAGAGTAGGTGAAACAGAGTCAATCCCAAAGTATTCCAAGAACCCCAATCCCCAGCATCCATCCACACTGGCCACTCTGAAGAGGCCCCAGTTGGCGCCTGGGAAAATTGCTGAGTGGCTTCTTACTAGCTGTCCAGAGGTTTCCATTTCTGATGCCTCCAGAAGATGTTTTTACAAAACTGTTTGTCATCAAAGACTCCCCAATCTGTCTCAGCCTTCTTTCCTACCACTGTTCTCCCTGCTTCCATTCTGGCCAAGCTAGACTGCACTTTGCCCTCCAGATCTGTACACACTGGGAAAGGCCTTTCCTTATATCGCCCTACTGCCACCAGCAATCTTTGTCTCATTCCTTTTATTCTTAAAACACCCCTAACTCAAATGCTACTTTCTCTGGAAAACGAAACCAATCGTTCTATAACCTTCCAGCCCAAAGCAGCCTCAGGCCTCACATGGCAAATGGTTTTGCATCTATCTCTCAGAGGTGGGCATCAGGCAATGTTGGACATCAGAATTATCTAGGCTGATGTCTTGACCTCTTCCCCCAGCCCCCTCCCCGCAACATGACTGTAAGCTCCCTATAGGGCTAAGGAGATGCCTTAATTTCCCCAGGACCTCCTATAACACTTAGTCCAGAGTCATCAACCAACACATAGAGGTCCAGGGGCACTCAGTGCCAGGCAGAGGGGACACAGATTCAAAAATCAGTCCTGGCTCTCAGAAGCATCCACTGGACAGGAGCTGCCCCAGCTCCCAGCAGGGGTGAGGAGAACAACAGGAGGGGCTGGAAGTAAACTTCAAATACAAAGCGACTGGGACCAGAAAACGCCTCTTGAACATGGTAGCATTTGCAGAAGATGGAGGGGAACAGGCAGGGAAAGAGAAGGGAGTTTTCCTAGTCTCAACTGCAGCAAATGTGCACCCCTGGGAGGGTGCCCCATCCAGGGGCAAGGAAGGGACTTCATAAATTCCGTATCCATCTGAACAGTGGCCTGAGGTCTTCCACTCTGGATGGGCCCACCCCTGCCCTGCAGTGACCCAGCCACCCAGTGACTGCAGCTTCTGTGAGGGGGAGCCCATTCTCTTTTGAAATGGCTCTGTGCAGCCACCATAGGCCCTGAGCTGGCCCTTACTGCAAAGGGGCCCTGCCCTTCAGGACCAAACAAAACTAGTCTGTCTTCCCCAGGACAGCCTTTCAAAAATACTGCAAGGCAGAGATTATGCCCTCACCTCACCTCAAGTCTTTTCTTCTCCAACCTAAACATCTCATGTTCCTTCAACCAATCCTCAATGACATCACCCCAAGGTTCTTCTTCATTATGTATGCCCTCCTCAGGACAGCTGGCACTTTCCCACTTTCCCAACACCTTCCTAACCCATGCAGTATTCCCAGTGCAGCTGACATCTCAGGAAGTAATCCCTGGACCTCCCTTAAAGCACATGGAGATGACACTCCCTTCCTCAGCTCTCATATCTTTGCTGATTCCACTCAGTACCCATGGAGCTTTTGTGGACAACCTGCTATCTCAATAAACCTCTCCCCATGGTATTTACATTCCAAACTTTGTATTTCTTAATTTCATCTCATCAGGTTGAGCACAAACGTTCCATGAATTCCTAGGCTGCTGCCCCCACCGCTTCACCTCCATCTCCCCTCCTCCTTTGGCCTACTCTGAGCCTCCAGAGGCCACATTCTGGGGTTAGACATATCTTCCTCTCTTTGTCTGTGGGGCCTCCCAGCTCTGTACCCCACATGTTCTCATGTCTGGCAGTTGACTTACTGGGACCCTTCACGACAACCTTGAGCTCGCCACTGCCTGCCCCCTTCGTGTAGACTTTGAAGTCAGCCGTCTCTTTCACTCGAACGCCTTTGGGCTGCAAACCTCGGCCCACAGCCCGGCAGGCACTGGGGTTACAGGCTGGGGAGAGAAGGGAGGTCTCATTATTTGGAGAAATGGAGGAACCCCAAGGATACTCTGGGTCTAAGTAGCCCAAGGCCAAGGGTGAGGCCTCTGTTCTGATGTTACATTCTTGCCTGCCAAAACCTGGACCCAGGATCATCTTTTCTCAAAGAATTGGGCAACAGAGGAGGCACTAATCATTATGCCAAAGCAGCCAATAATCACGTGCAATACCCTCATGGCACAGAGGGCCCCACTGAAGGGGAGTGACCAGGCCGAACTAGCCCAGTGACCAGGATCCAGGGCACTTGTGAGCTCCAGCTACTTATTGTGCTACCAGAGCTGGGAGGCTACAGGAACATGCTGGGACCTCCCTCCCTCCCTCCCTTCCCTCCCCTACTCCCTTCCAACATAACCCCCTCCCTCCAAAATAATTGGGCTCAAGTACCGTCCACCCTTTGGTGAGATCAGAGCTCAGCAGAGATTCCCAGGCAGCCGGAGCCAGGTCTTCAGAAAAGACGAAAGCATGAAGAAGAGACAGACAGAAGAAGGGAAACAAACCACGAAGGGAGAGCAAGTTTGCCAAGAACAGTGAAAAGAGAGGTGATGAAAAAAGGAGAGAGGGAAAGAGGGGGGACTCAAGGCGGCCGTGAATTAAGATGAGAAGAAAAGTGGTCTTGTGGTCCCCCCACCATGGGCTCAACTTCTCCAGGACAGGGCAGCCAGAGGATGAGGGATGGATGAGGGCAGCCAGAGCAGCAGTGGCTGAGACAGTAGTCAGCCCCAGGGGGTCCCTGGCACAGGATGGCTGGCCTCGTGGGGAGCATAACATGCATCAGAGGAGCTCACCTTGCCCAACAGCAACAGTGTAGGGGCTCCGGGGAATGGGTACCCCAGCAAAGGTGACATAGATGGTATAGATTCCCTCCAGGGTAGGCTTGTAGCTACATCGATATGTGCTGTTGCCCTTGTCCTCCAGCTGTTGCTCTACGGTACCCTTTTTCCCTGTGGGATCTTGGATCACCACCTCCACCTCTCCAACACCAGCACCTGATAGGAAAACAAAACTATAGGATCCCCAGTTGCCCCCAACCACTCTTCCACTGGTTACTCTGCCACCCCACCCCCATCCAAGATGGGAAACTGCTCTGGGTAGGGAGGGGCCGCATACACCATAGAATCATTGATTCAGAACAAATATCTGAAAGCAAACTGAAAAGCATGCTTTTCCTTCTCATTTTCTTGGGTCTCTTCTACCTCTGAAAAGATGAGAGTAGTGAATGCATATCGAAACAGGCATGCAATCTGTGGTCACATCTGCCAACTAACTAAGGAAAGCTCCTGGGAGCAGGTAAAGCTCCAGATATTAGGGCAAAAGGTCAAGAGTTTCATGCAGGGGTGGGAAACCCATGGCCCTCTAGGTCCTCAAGTGCGGCCCTCTGACTGAATCCAAACTTCTCAGAACACATCCCCTTAATAAAAGAATGTGTTCTGTAAAACTTCGACTCAGTCGAAAGCGCACCCAACGACCTGGAAGGCCACACGTGGCCTTCGAGGCCACAAGTTTCCCACCTCTGGTTAGTGCTTAACTAGTTCAAAGGGGCCTCTGCCACTTACAGGCTGCAAAGGGCCAAGGATGTGCCCCGAGGCCACAGCTGCCTTAGTTATTGGCTCTTTCTAAGCTCAGGCCTGAATCTCATACCCCACAGAGGGTTGTCAGTAGAGAGACAGAGTATGGCAGTGGAAGGAGCACTGACTTTGGGATCAAATACCTGTCCAACCATCTCTCCATAAAACAAGAGACGTGGCCTTGGTGACCTCTAAGGCCCCTTACAGGTCTGGCTCTAGGCCTCTTGGATTTTGTGAGGGGGAAGATTGGGGGGAAAAAGGATAGGAAGGAGGTCAGCCTCACCAGCAGTGAAGATCTCAAAGTAAGTGGTCTTGTTGGCAATGTTACCACTGGGTTCCAGGCCAGGGCCTTGGGCTGTAACCTTGCTGGAATCTCCCTGGGACTTGTCCACATACACCTCAAAGGGGCTCTTAGCAATGTGCTGTCCAGCAAAGAGGACTGTGACCTAGACAAGGTAGGATGCAGGGAGAGATGGAGTATAAAAAAGTGAGGCTGGCAGCATTCTACTCTCCCTCCCCTTCCTCTGGCCCAACCCTCAGTCTCACCTTATGCGTCCCTGTGACCTCAGGGATGTACCAGACAGAGAAGGTGTGATTCTTGTCATTATTGGCAATCACCTTGGCCTGTAATGTTGGACAGTGGGCCTTGGTTAGCTTGCTAGGCATAAGACAGGACACAGTTCACCTACTTCTCCTGGGCCAATCTTCTCTTTGGTAGCTAGTCCTAGATTCCTTCTATTCCCCATACAGGTCTCCAGTCTCATCCCTCCTGAGCCCACAGGTGAGCAGGGGAAGGGTTAGCACCTACCTCTTCCCGGTGCCCAGCGGGGTCCTCCACATACACCAGGACTTCCCCCTGGCCAGCGCTTATTGTCTCCACAGTAAACTCTGCCCGTTTCTTCACCATATTACCAGTGGGCTCTATTCCTATGAGGGAGATACCAAGGTGAAGTCAGGATGGCACAAGGCGAGCTCCCAACTCTCCCCTACATCATCGCCAAGCAAAAGGTCCCCACACAGATGCCTACCACTTGCCTGTGTGGGGCCCTTGCCCAATCCCCTACCGACTCCCGTTCTCTCCAATCCGGTGGCCTAACTGGTTTCCTTCAGGGTTCTGGGGAGGATATTTGCTGGCTGCCTCTAGCTTGGTCTCAGTGTTAAGCTTCACTGTGGCCAGTGCCCAGACCGCTTCAGTACAGAGGGGTTTGGCAGGAGCAGGCCAGCATCAAGACTCAAGTTCTCACCTGCCTGGACAGCTGGTACCCGCTCCTTCTTCTTGGACCTCAGAACATCTGCCCTCCTGCCTCCCACCAAAGTGCCAATCTCCCTAAGGTCCACTCTCCTGTCTCCAACTGGCCACTACATTAAGGCAAAAACTCCTCACCTGGCCCATAGGCTCTGGCTTTCTTTGGATTGAGCTTGGGACGCAGTGGGGCCCCAGGCTTCAGCTTGGCTTTAGGGAACTGGGACAGGTAGGTCATGACTGAGTGCTCATCAACGTTGGGGTCCACAATCTCCTCGGGAGTGATCACCTATAGAAGATTGGAGGTTGTTTTTAGGATGAGAGGAGGCCAAGCCAACTTGGCACCATGCTCCAGCTATCCCCACTTACAGTCAAAGAGCAAGGGAGAGCCCGGAGTTGGGGACTCATGAGGGGAAACTGGGACAAGGGACCAGAGGCCCAGCAGAAAGGGCACTTGACCTGGAGTCACAGGACCTATGGTTAGATCCCTCCAACTCTTACTTTCCTACTCTGTGCCTCAGTTTCCTCCTCTGTAAATTGAGGGGGTTAGATTAGATAGCCTCTGAGGTCCTTTCCAGCTCTAGGTCAATCACATAGCTCTTTTGGGACAGGGAAGAGACAGTAGGTTGAATCAGATACAAATATTGGCAAAGCTCGTACCTGAGGAATGCCCAGCCAGTCATCGGCCTGCTGCATGGCTTCTCTGGCATTGTTCACAGGTTTACTGGCATCCCAGGAATCCAAGTCAGGGCACAGGCCTGCAGCAGACAGAGAAGCCCCATGGCATGAACCAGTCCTCCCCCCCGACCCCTGGAAGTAGTTCATACCATAGTGGTCCAGTATCAAGGAGCCAATAGTGGACAGTGATAGGGACACAGTGAATATCAGTCCCTGCCTCAGAATACCTTCTATTCGGGTATGGGGATGTCAGCTAAAGCCTCCTCTGTAGAAGGTAGGGGTTGAATCAAGCCTTGAAGGGAGGTAGGGACTCCAAGAGGTGGAGATGAGGAAGAAGAGCGTTCAAGGCAAGGGGGTCAACCTGTGCCAATACACAATGGCAAGAGGTGGGGGGTGGCTCCTTGGTCCTTCTTCTGCACAGAGGATCTTGAAATCTGGCCCCTCCCAGCATTCTCCCTGCCCTGATCCTAATTGGGGAAGCTTGGGGGCAGAAGAGGCAGCAGGGCTCGGCTCTCACCTGGAGCACAGCTGTCCACTAGGGCCCCAAGGGCACGGCCACTCTGCCAGTCCCTACTGAAGTTGGTGATGGGCAGCTGAGGGAGTTTGTTCTGGATCCAACCCAGGAGCCGCTGCTTGGGCGTCTGCTTCTTGGCCTCTTCGTCCTCTTCCTCGTCCCACATTGGCATCGAGATGGAGTAGTGCAGAATCAGCGTCCAAATCAGACCCAAGATGAGCTTCAGGTTGCCATCAACAATGGCCTTGCTGTCTGCAGGGCATGGGGTAGGAAGAGAGGGATGTTTGCTCAGCCTCTTTCCAGAGCCTTGGGTGCACACAGGGCTATGGTAGCCTCTAGCTAAGGCTAGAACCCTCAAGGATCTGTCAACAAGCACCGATTAAGTACCTCCTGGGTGCCAGGCACCAGGCTAAGTGCTGGGGAGACACAAAATGATGGTCCCCAGAGGTCTTTGCCAAATGTAAGATCTATCCAGCCTAGAAGGAAGGAAGGAAACATCCAGGGCAGATGAGGGAAAGAACTTGGCAAAGGTCTCCCAGTAGGTGAGGAAGACACTCAGGATTAGACTATAAGTCTTGAAAATGTCCTCTAAGGTTCTAGCACTCACCAGTACCTCAGCCCCTCTCCAGGGGCTCCGTTAGCTCTGAATGCCAGTGACTCAGGGGAGAGGGTGCTTGAGCAGGGGGCAGTGGCTAGAACACTAGACCAGCAATTACAAAACACATGAGGTCAAATCCTCCTTGACTTTTATTAGCTAAATGACCCTGGGCAAGTCATTTAACCTCTGGGCCTCAGTTTCTTCATCTAAACAATTTACTTCACAAGGTTATAAGGATCAAATGAAAGAAAGGGGGGACAGAGGAGTAAAGAAAGAAAGAATATGTACATGTGAATATATATGTGTGCACATGTATATAAAAAAGAAACAGAATTCCTCTTCCCCAACTCTCTACCCCCAAAGTCCTCAGTGAGCTGGCTGTCAGCCAGGCAGATTTACGGCTCCATGGGGGAGGAACAGAGAGATAGAGAGCTTGCAAAAGTCAGCAGAAATTAATTGGGGGGGGGGAGGTTGAAAGACAAGGGAGCCAAGACTATGTGGGCATAACTAATAAGCCCTGAGTCACCTCAGCCTGGGGGTAGGACCACTGAGGAGATAGAGTTCTACATTCCTGAGGCCTAGACATAGGACCACAGAATATCTGAGTTGGAAGAAACCCCTCAGAGAAAGCACAAGCCCTTTATTTTACAGAAGGAGAAAAGGAGGCCCAGAGCAGGCAGCAGAACATGCCCCAGGCCACATTTAGGTCCTGGCAGAGCAAGGATTCAACTCAGGTCTGCTGACTCGAAATCTCTTAACTGTGGGGGTTTCATTCCCCCTTTCTCATACAGGCAATGCTGAGGGGAAAGAATGCCTATTCCCAAAGGCTAGAAAGCCTTTCTTGTTGCTAGTCTTCCCCTCCCCTCCACTTTTAGTGTAGTATAGGCTTATGTAGATCAGCAGGCTCTAGCTCTGCCTTTGAACCACAATATTAAGACATTCCACCAGAAAGGGGAAGGGGAAGCTTCCACAGGTAGGGGCTTAGTCAGGAAACAGGCCCTGTGTTTCCCTAGATAGCTCTACAGCCCCTAGAACAAGTCCCAGCTCGCCTTGGGAAGGGAGTAAGAAAAGGCTGAGGTTGCCAAGGGCTGCTTCCTCCCTGCTGCTGCTCTATTTTGGGCTCAGGAGGCCCAGGCCAGCCCTGAGGGCCAGGGAAAAAATGAAGGGAAGGGGGGCAGGGAATAAAAGGAATGGTCCTGATCAGAGTGCATCCTAAAGAGCTCAGGGAAGAACATGTCAAAAATCTCCTCTGATCTGGGGGACTGGAATAAAAAGACAGGCCCACCCCACCCCAAACCACAGAAAGCAAACTGAACAGCAGGCCGAAAGCCAGGAGAAGGAACAGGCCCAGGAAAACCTGGCTAGCCTGGCCTGGGGAAATGGTCCAGGATATTCTGAGACCCACCCGAAGGGTCTGGCTAGCAGCCACCCCAAATCACCACGGCAACCCCCTCAGCCCCAATCAGCAGAGTTCTCAGCTAGCCTCAGGAGACAACTAGCCCCGACACATACTCCGCCTTTCAGGGGGCCTTGCCCTGAATAGCTGACCCAAGCCTGCAACAGGGGGGTGAGGGTGGAAGTGGTAGAGAGGTCTAAGAAAGGAAACAGCAGGAAGGCTGAGAAGGAAAAGTTTGAGCCAGAAAGGCCATCTCACCAAGAAAAATCAGAAAAGAAATCCCATGTCCTGGCTTACACATGTTCTGCTAGGCCCCAGAAGGCAGAAACAGGAACAACAATGGGGGTGGGGGGTAGAAATGTCAAAAGGATTTCATTTTAGGCTTCATATGACAAAAAGTCTGGAGAATGGTCTCCAAGGGGAATGAATGGGTTCCTGCTCCAGCAGTTGGGGCAGCCATGTATCAGGCATGCAGAAGTAGTATGCCTCCCAGTTTCAGGAAGTTAGGGTTAAAGGATGAGGTGGCCCTAGAGGTTCCTGCCAACTCTGAGATCCTGTGATTTTTGTCCCAGCTCTGCCCCTGAAACCTCGGGTAAGTCCCTTCCTGTCTCTGGACCTCAATGTGCCCATCTATAAAGTAAAGATCAGATGAGATGAAACTCAAAGTCCCTGCCAACACATTCTTGTGTTTCCATGAGATAAGAAAGGGGCTTTGGGTGGGCGTGGGAGAATCAGACTCTGAGTTGGAAGGATTTCAGATCACCAATTTCACCGTACCTACCCAGGAAACCCTTCTACAACAGGTGTGAGAAGTGGTCAATCTGAAGACTACCAGGAATGACAAATTCATGACCTCCTAAGGTAGCCCTCTCCTCTTGTGAACAGCCCTAATTGTAGGAAGTTTCTCTTTACATGGAACTGAAATGTGATTCTCTGCTGCTTCTACCCTTGAGGGGAGTGCCTTGGTCTACCTACCAGGAGCCCCCAAATGACTTCCACAAAGGCAGGGATGATGCCAACTTTACCCAATGCAGAAACATTCTTTTCTACAGGGCTCAGCAAATGGGGTCACAGCAGACCTCCCCACGCCTATCTATGAAGAAGACAGATCCTCTTAGTCCTTATCTGTAAGATTCCTCTCCAAAGTTAAAAAAAAAATGCAGAAAAAAATGTTTGTCTTCTGAGTCAGCTGGAAAAGGGGTGGGGAGGGTACCAAAAAGGAGAGAAGAAAGTCTGGAATAAGACTTTTCCATATAAGGGGCTTACGAAATATCGAGGCTGGACAAGCCTTAGAGATCACTTCGGGCCCCCTTATTTTATAGATGCATTCAACTAGGCCCAGAAAGGAAGGTGCCAGCTCTGAGGCAAAGCTGGGACTAGAACTCAGGATTCTTTCCTTTCTATCCCAGGCCTTCAGTTTGTTCCCCAGGCCAGAAACACTCAATCTAGTCTTCTCCAGCCCCAGAGTTCTCTACCTCAGCCCTTGCTAAGCTGTTTTCCAGAAGCAAGAGAACCCTAACACACCCAAACATGACCAAGTGGAATAGCCCTACCCATCAATATCTGAGAGCTCTAGATAGCTTAGAAAGCTAGGAGATTCTTCCCGGGTAGAAGAAGCCTGCCCTGATGGGCCCACCTCAATTGGTCTCTCCACTTTTTTTTTTTTGTCTCTCCACTTTTCAAATTCAACCCTATTTCCCTGATTACATCTCATCTATTTCAAAGTAGTTGATAGGGACAGGAGAAGGTAGAAAAGACTATTCACTGACAGCTAGAATGCCAAATATAAACAAGATCTGCCAAGCCTCCAGCTGGCATTGGTAAGAGCTCAAGCTGGGTACCTCTTCTACCATACCCTTTGTTGGCCTTGTGGGCCTGGATGTGCCAAGAGTTAGGTAGGTAGATAAATAACACTGAGGAAGAGGGGCTGTGTAAGGCCAGGTTATGGGCCACCACCAGCCATTCCTCATACACAGGGAGGCCCACCCAGCTTCCAGGCCAGGCCCTATCTTAGGGAGTGCCTGAGACACACCCTCAGTTCCAGTCACAACAATGGTCATTCTCGCGCGCGCGCACGTGTGTGTGTGTGTGTGTGTGTGTGTGTGTGTGGTGTGTGTGTGTTGTGTAGTATTTTACAAAGTGCTTATCTCTTCATATCCACTGAAGAGATCCAAAAGAGGACTGAGGCCCCCAGAGAAAATATAAGATTTGCCCACAGTGAAGTCCAGAGCAAGGCTCTTTCCCATCTATTCTGTGCAGGCTGGCACAGACTCCCTTGGAATGCCTAAGGCAGTAAGTATTTAGGAATCTCTCTCACATACACACACACACAGAGCTTATCCCTGCCCCACCAAGCCCAAACCCCAGGGCCTTACCAAAGGGGCCTTTCCCACGGCCTAGCTACCAGCCCAGGCCCTGTCTGGGGCCCAGGCCCTCCCCTCTCCCCCCCATCTCCCAGCTGGGCCCCGCCCCCCTCTGCTGGGGTGACACACCCCTCCCCCTCAGCCGCTGGGCCCCAGCCTGCTAATCACACTGCTTTCCAACATTTTTTAGCCATATATGGGCAAAGCTCTAGGAATCAGGGGCGGGAGAAGGAAGAGCAAACCCCCCTGCTGGGGCAGGGCCCACACCCCCCCCCCATATCCTGCCTTCCTTCCTCCATCTACCCACTCTCTCCACCCACCCTCCTTTCTTCCCTAGCTTCAGGGCACAACTGCCCCACCCCACCCCCTTCAGGCCCAGATACAATGTGGGGTTGGGGGGGGAGGGAAGGGGAGTCAGTCCCTTCCTGCCCCAGAAATTCAGACTTCTTGGAGCACAGGGGAATGTCTGGGAAGGGACTGGGGGAAAGCCCCAGAGACCCCGAAGGTTGGCTGGCAGAAGGGGGTGTGGGCCTCCAAGGTCTGGGCCTGGTGACTAAGACATTCCTGTAACCAGAATGGAAGGCTTTCCAGGGAGGGAAGTAACCCCAAAGCAGCTCCTTTCTCAGCCCTCCAGAGCCCAAGACTGCAGAAAACCCTAGAGGCCTAAAAACCCTATGGAGGCCTAAAGCATGGGGGAGGGAAGGCCTGCCAGGCAGCCCTGGGGCCCAATCAAACTCCAGACACAGAGAGAAAATATAGAGGCTGGAAACATGAGGGGTCAAGAGCAAAAAAAAAAACCCAACAAAAAACAGGAGGTGGACGATTTGGGTGGGTGCCCAGGCCCAGTCTTTACCAATCTGTTTCTTTCCCCCTTCAACACAGGAAACAGGGTGGGGCCTGGTGCCCAACCCTGCTGGGCTCCCAGAACCACAATAGGCCCTAGTTGGGAGTTGGAAGGGGAGGAGGGGGCAGCACTTTCAGAAACAGCCTACTAGGTGAGTAATCAGCCCCCAGGCCCTAGAAGGAGAAATTCAGGGGAGGGAAACACCAGCTCAGAGATGTTCTAATCATTAGGAAGGGTGGGGAACTAAATCCAGCCCCAATCTGTGCAACAGCTTAATCTCCAGCAGGTCCCATCCCTTCTTTGAGGCCTCAGTTTCCCTATCTGCAAAATGATGAGGTTGGACTAGATGGTCACTGAATCAGAATCTGCCTCTACCCAGAGCATCAAATGGTGCTCAGCAACTGGCACTCTCCCTCAAACATTTTCTGGGTGCCTCCCCTTATACAGGCACCAAGCCTATCTGTCCGCACTCTCAGCCCAGCCACAGGTACTCCTCCCCTGCACTCTTCAGCCAGATTACTTGTGCCTTCTCAGAGTCAGGAGCTGGGAACAGTGGGAAGAGAGAGACTGAGTAGGAGGAGACAGACCCACACAGCTAGGCTGCTACCCCTGGCCACACAAACTGGGGTGGGGGTGGGGTCTCTTCCCAGCTGTGAAGTTCTCTACTGCAGGGCTTCTTAAACTTTTTCCACTGGAAACCCCTTCAACACTTCTTAAACTGTGGGTTGAGACCCCATATCTTGACCCACAGTTTAAGAAGTGCTGCCAGTCTACTACAGCCCACAGGCACGTTTACTCCTGTTTCTCCATTATTCGGATCCAGTCCCATCTTCTCCTGCTATGGCACAGGCCTTACTTCCACCCCTCTGCCCCAGCCTTCCACATCCTGGTTGTTTGAAATACTTCCCCATCCTGGCTCAGCTCACCTATACCAGGACATCTTCCAAGATTACTCACTCCACTCTCACCCCCTCCTTCCAAGGCTGCATGTGAGTTCCCTCTGCTGAGATGTCTCACATGCCTTTCACCTGGACCTCTCCTTCCATCTAAACCTATACAAGTCAACTTTAATCAAGGCCCTGCTAGGTAAAGTAGATGTCAGGGCTTGCCCTCGGATAAGCATAATAAGCAATAATACAAGGCAAGTATGATGGGCAAAAGGTGGCCCGAGGGCTCTCTGGAAATCTAGGGCTGGAGGAAATCAGGGAGGGTTTCTTGGAGGTGGCCCCTGAATTGCTCCCTGAAAAAACCAAAGGATTCAAAGAGTCAGAGCTGAGGAGGGTGGGTGTTCCAGGTCTACAAGGGCAGGAGATGGAAAGCAGAGGCAAGTTTGTCTGCAGTGGTACAGGGTACATGTCCATGTACCCTGTCAGGATCATTGTTGGGCAGAGAGGTCAGCATCATTTTCTCTCTAGCCCCAGTACAAGCCACTATTGCCCAGCAGCCCACTAAAGGACGGGAAGAAAAAGTTTGGTTCAACGGCTTGGGGAAGTCCCTCCCTGGGCTGGCAGCGGCAGCTCTACCCTGCCACACCCACCCCTACCCACGGAAGCACCCAGCCCTTCACCATCAAGAAGGTGCTAGAGGACGGGGCGGCGGCTGAGCACAGGGGTCCAGCCCCAGGCAATGCCCGGAAGAGGCCCTCCTCCCCTCAATCACACACACAGTCATACACACTCCCTGACCCCACCAGATGCCCCTGATCCACAAACAGTTAACAGCTCCAGCAACATTCCTTCAGCTCTAGAAAAGCGGCAGGCTCAGGCAGGACTCCTCCTTTGTTTCGGGAGCTCCGCAGCCCCAAGGCTGCCTCCTCCGACACAAATGTCGAAACAGCACCCCTCCTCCAGCAGGCTCTGCCCTTTAATGTGCCACCCCTCCCCAACGTGGGTCCAAAGGGAAGGGAACTAGCTGGGTGATATCCTGGGCCCGTACTCCAACAGGTTAGACCAGCTGTGGGCCTTGGCACCGCTATTTTGGCCCATGCCAGGCCTGGGGAACATGTGTGGGCAAAGAGGTCTGAGACTGATTGAGTCACGGCTCCGAGGGCGCCCCTACGGAGGGCTGGCGACATGGCCCGCGCCTCGGATGCCCAGCCCTGCCCTGCTCCGCACTTGCGGTGCCCAGCCCGTGGTGCCCCTGCCACTCACCGATGGACACGAGCTTGATGCTCTCCCGGTCGAGGAACTCGAGCGCCACGGACACGTTCTCAAGCTGCATCTGGCGGAAGGTGGGCCGCTGGTTGTGCTTGCGGTGCATCTTCTTCTGGCTGAGCACCTCGAGCAGCGCGATGAGACGCAGCCCGTCGCTCAGATCCGTCTGCAGGTTGCCGATGCGCTTGCTCACGCACTTGAGGTGCTCGTTGCACCAGCGCGTGAACGTGTTCTGCTGGATCTTCTTCCACGGCGCATCCTCCGCCAGGTCCTTCTCGGTGGCCGGCATCTCGGCGTCCTTGTCCTTCTCGCCGCCGCCCGCTGCTGCTGCCGAAGCTGAAGCCGCGCTGCTAGGGCTGTGGCTGTGGCCGGGCCGCGGGTGGGAGCTACTCATTTTGAGAGCCTGTAGAGGCTGGGGGCGGTGCTGGAGCCCGGCTAGGGGGCGGCCCTCCTTAATTAAAGACGCAGGCACCTAGAGCCAGACGAGCTGGGGGAAGAGACACAGCCTTGGGGCGGCTGTGCAATCAGTCCCTTTAAATGGGAAGGGCCGGGGGCGGGCCGGAGAGGGAGAAAGGGGGGTGGGGGGTGAGGCTGGGTCCCCTCCCCTCCACCCTTTTCCCCTTCTCTTCCCCAACCCCCCTTCCTCTAACCCCCCCTTCCCTCCAGGCCCCCATTCCCTACTCCATCCAGCACAGAACCACTGAAAAGCTTTCATTCGGCCTCTACCCCCACCCCAGCCGCCCCAATTCCAACTCATTCCCAAGCTTAGCCTTACCCTGATGACTCTTTAAACGTATCCCCTTTCCCTGTCCCTGGGGTTTGATGAAGCAGGAGAAGTCACCTCCAGCCGGGTGAAGGGAAGCAGAGAAGAGAGAACCTTCCTTCTCCGATCCCACTCCCCACTTCTGTGGGCTTCCTCCGTCCAAACCCCACCCCTCCAATGACCCAGCAGTTTTACTGGTGGAATGAGCCTGAGGAACCTAGTTCATCTCTCCCTGCCTCCTTGTTGGAGGAAACTCAAGGCCAGGGAAGAGAAAGAACTGGATCAAGGTCACCCCTGCCGTTACATTGTAGCTGGGCTCTCAGGGCTAGCAGTCGTCCCACGCAGCGCCTCCCAAGAGCCAAATCTTTGTTTCCCCTTCCTCTTCTCTCCCCCACATGTTCATGGTTTCTATGTACACCAGTGCCGGCCCAGTCATCCAATAGCCTGGGCAGTAAAAGCTTTCCTTCTTCTGCTTTGAGATGGAGAGGCTCAGTTTCTCCATTTGTTAAAGGGAGGAAGGCTTTCCCAGGACACTAGGGCTCTTCTCTGGGAAAATCCTGGGTCCCTGTTCCTCCCTCCCCCTATAACTGCAGCTGCCCGCTGGGCCCAGGCATGTTACCCATGTTACTGAATCCGTTCATTATCTGCCTAGAATGATACTAGACTTTATCCTCCCTGCAAACCTGGGGCGAGCCCTTGTATTTTCAGCTACCCGTTCGATGCTCGGGCCTGCCCCCCAACCCAACCCTAGCACTCCCTATTTGGCCAAGGAATGAAGAGGGAGGAGATTAATTGACCTCTCCCTTCTCCCCTGACCCCCTAAAGAGGGAACGGGTGCTGAAGGAGAAAAGGACACCCTCCATTCTATTCTACCTAGGAAAATACTGCTCCCCACTTCCAGATCAGGAAAGATCAAGACATCCCCCCACCACCAGAAGCTTGTCTAGAAAGAGGGCTACTCAGGCTTCTGGAGAAGGGACCTGAGGGTCTCTTCCCTTCCATATTTGGTTCAATTCTGAGCTCTCAGCCCCTACCCAAGGCCTCTGCCACACCCTGCAGTTCCCAGCCAGCCTTGCACCCCCAAGGGGCACTCCCAGATTTTAGAAACCTGCCCCTCCTCCACTTTTCAGCATCCTCTCAGAAGGCAGTTAAATCGAAGTCTCGGGGTGGCGTGAGGAGGAGGGAGTAAAAGGGGGTGGGGTCTGCAAAGCCCTTCACAATCACCTGGGGAGATAGGCAGGGCTGGTGTTTTTAGCCCCATTTTACTGGGGAGGCAATTGAAACTCCCAGACTTCAGTGGCAGAGCCCCCAGAGCACCCCCAGAGAACTGGATGCACGGTGTCACCACTGCCTGAAGACTGGAGCATTCACGTAGGGGCAGTGAGGTGGGGCAGACAGTACCCTGGAGCACAAGACCAGGAGTACCAGGGCCCAGATTCCAGGGTCTCCTCCCTCCCAGCCTCAGTGGGCCCAATCTGGCCCAGCCTTTGTGGTAGTGACTGATTGCCCTGCCCCACCCCTAAGGGTAGCCATCAGCCAGACAAATCCAAACCCCAAGGCAGAAATCTGGGGGGTGGGGGAAGGAGAGAACCACACCCAACTCTTGGGGAACTGAGTCACACCACCAGAGGCCGGGGCCCTGCTGACCTCTATTGGCCAAACCAGGGGAAAAAAGCCCTTACTTTGTCCCAGTTAGTTGGCCACAACTTTTTTAGGTAAAGAAGAACCAAAGGAAGTCAGCAGAGGGCAGAACCTGTAGTAGGGGAGCTAGGGAAAGTACTGAGAGGGGAAGAAAAGGGAGCGTGTCATAGGTGGTCAGGGAAGGGAGGGGAGGGGAAGAAAGGGAGGAGAAAAGAGTGGACAGAAAATAGACCAGGGTTAGAACGGGAGAAAAGAGGAAGGGGTGTGGGGGACAGGGAAGGGAGGTCAGGATTAGAAAGGGTGGGGGGGGCAGGGAAGGGAGGTCAGGATTAGAAAGGTTGGGGGGGCAGGGAAGGGACAAGGAAGGTTCAAGGGGACAGAGAAGAGAGGTCAGGGTTAGAAGGGGTCAGGGAAAGGAGGTCAAGGTTAGGAAAGGGAAGAGGAAGGGACAGAGAAGTAAGGGGATAGGGAAGAGAGGAGGAAGGGGTCAGGGGGCAGAGAAGAGAGGCCAGGGTTAGAAAGGGAGAAAGGAAGAGGTCAGTAGACAGAGAAGGGTAATAAAGAAGTTAGAGAGGATAGGAGGAGGAACAGGCAGAGTGAAGGGAAGATGGGAGCAGGAAGAGCCAATGTGTTTATTGTTCTGGGATTTGGGGGGAGGGGTTTCTCCATGTAAGGAGCAAGGAGCTGAGAAAGACAAGTGTCACTTCCAATTTACTCCGGTTTCTGTCCCCCAAATGGGCCTGGCTTTTCTCATTTCAGCCCTAATGTTCCTATCTCCAGCTCTGGGCCCCGGGAACAGTGCCTGGCTCACTTCATTGAATGAACCTTAAGACCTAAGTCATTGATCCATCTGCCAGGAAATCCTGCGTCAGTACTGGGCCTCTTCCCAACTCATCTCCCCTCCCTTTCCTCACCACTCTCTGCTTTCCTGCTGAGAGGGGGAGGGGAGAGTAGAAAGGAGGAGGCCATGGTCTTTGCAGCATGACCCATCCAAATACGGTCAACTCTCACTTAGATCACTTTATGAATTACCTGAGGCCTATTTTTAATTCCAGACTGGCCTCATTCCCATGCCAATGCATTTCTGGGTTTATTTCAGTCTCCCTGATCTTTTTAATGTCCATCTATGGGGGGGGGAGGCGGGGAGGGTTGGATTTCCAGCTCTGATACAACCTTTTTCTTACATTCAGTAGTGCTCCCCTCCCTGCCACTTCAATGAGCTCGGGGTCCAATGGAAAAGAACCCAGAATGCAGTGAACACAAATGCCTGAAAATCTGAGTTTGGCATTTGAGCTGCTATTTATGCAGGTGCCCGTGGAAGAAGCCCTGTTGCTTTCCAGGAAGGGAGAACTGAGGTAGGGGATTTTCTATCAATCAACTCCTGTTTGGGGCAGCTAACCTCGGGCATTTTTATTTCCAGCCCCAGGCCCCCAATTCCCAGAGAAATCCACCCAAACCCACTAGATTTTGCTCCCTGAGCTGGACTTGGATTTGCACCTTTGGGTCCTGAGGACAGTGAGCAGTGAGTACACTGAGCACTAGGTTTAGAATCTGAGGATCTGGTTCAAACCCTGCTCTGTCCCTTGCTAATGAGTCACTTTGCTTTCAAGGCCTCAGGCTCCCAAGACTTCTGTAAAAAGAAGGGGTCGGGTTGAACAGCCTCTGATGTCTCTTCAGTTTTGATGAATCCTAGGTAGGATTCTTCTGCAGACCCCAGCTCCACCTGGGATTGCAATGTGGATATCTGGACACTAGGGGACGCCCCATCCCACACCCCAGTAGCTCCCCTGTCCGAGGAAGCTGAAATTCCTCCCGTTCATATTTTCCCTTATTTGGAATGAGACTGAGGAGTCAGACATAGCCTCAGAGCCACGCCCCTCTCCTGGCGTGCTGCCTTCCTGATTGCCCTGCCCAGGACACTCAGTATTGCCTGCTGCCCAGACTTGAAGGCTGTCTCCTTTTGGATGGGCTAGCTAAGGCAATGGGTCACTCCTTCCTCTCACTTTCCTTTCCTGGGTTCTCAGTTTCCCCAGAGCCTCATGGTCCCTAAGGGCCTTGCTGACAGTCTCAGACTGTGACTTGAAGCCCACGGCAGAGCTAGAGCAAGGCCCCAGGATGCTTCTTCCAGAGCTCAAAGTGGGGCAGAGCAAGAAGTCCTACACCTCACCTAACCCTAACTCCAAATTCATGCTGGCCTGACAGCCTGGGGCTCTGGTGGAGCACCCCCTCCCCAAAGAAAGGAAGACTGAAAGGCTGAGGGCATGGGAGGAACGACAATCAGAGGGCATACCAGCTGTGTCAGGTGTGGGGCCTCACCCATCCACCACCCAGGGCCACACATACCTAGTCTCCAAGCATCCTCCTGTTTGGAGGTTCAGTCTGCCCCACGGAGGAAGCTAAGGACTTAGCATTGTTTAACTGAATTGAAGACAAATCCAATCCAGACTTCGCCAGGAGGCTCCCTGCCCATGCCACCCTAACACACCCCATCCAGACACCCTGATGGCACTGTCCACAGAGCAGCTGAAGTGGAGCTGTGTACCAAGGAGCACAGGACCAGGGCCTGGCAAGGGATGCCACATGCTCCCACAGGTGCCTGGTGGGAGGCTACTGGGCTCTTTGGTTTTCCCAACACATGGCTATGAAGTGGCTGAAAGCATAGCCACTCGTGCACACACACACACACCACACACACACACACACACACACACAAGTAACCCGGAATCTTACATATATATCTATATCTATATACACACAGAGTAATCTGGAATCTTATACACACACACATACACACACACACACACACAAACACACACACTGACTTGGAATCTTACACACCTACCCACAGAGTGACCTGGAATCAACACATACAACACACACACACACACACACACACACACCCCACACTGACTTGGAATCCTACACACCCACCCATCAGTGACCTGGAATCACACACACACACACACACACACACACACACACACACACACAGAGCAACCCGGAATCTTACATATCTATCTATATCTATATATACACAGAGTAATCTGGAATCTTATACACACACACACACACACACATACACACCCACCACACACCCTCATAAACTCCCACATACCCCTACAGAGTGACCTGGAATCTTACACACACACACACACACACACACACACATTGACTTGGAATCTTACATACCTACCCACAGAATGACCTGGAATCTTATACACATACACTCACACAGAATGATCTAAAATCTTATACACCCACAGACTTGCAATCTTACACACCCACCCATCAAGTGACCTGGAACCACACACACACACACACACACACACACACACACACACACACACACAGTGACTTGGAATCCTACACACCCATCCACAGAGTGACCTGGAGTCATGTCCATCTCTCTGTCCTGTCCCGCCCCACCCCATCCCTCAGCCTTGCCTGCCTGCCTGCCTGCACACATCCACAGCAGTTCTCCACAATGGAAGGGCAGGCATCCACTGGCTCTGAGCACATCGATCTCCTGAATAGGTTTCCTTTTTCTTCCCTTTGCCCACTCAGCAGGTCCTGCCCTTTCCTACCCACTTGGCTCTGCCCCCTGCCTCCTCTCCCTGCCCAAGATAGAGGATGTCCGGGCCAAGAGAATCTGTGGTGACTAGGAAGGGGGGTATAGTGGGGAGTGGGGCGCGCCTTAGATACGACTGGGCAGGCCCAGGGTAGAGAAGCCCGTCTGCCTCTACGCCTCCCGGGTCCCAGCTGTCAGCAGCACGGGGGTGGGGTGGGGTGAGAGGGTGCTGCAGGGAGCAGCTGTCTTACCTGGAGCCCTGAGCCAGAGCTGGGAGCCGGGAGCCTGGAACCGGGAGTCGGTAGCCGGGACTGCAGCCGAGGGCACCTCGACCTGCCGGCGAGGAGGCTGTGCTGGCTTCCCGGCTCAGGTCTGGCCCGAGACGGGACTGACAGAATTGGGAGCCCGGTCCCAAGAGCGTGCACTTCAACCCCCGGGGCGCCGAGGACCAGAAGGGCAAGGGCCAGCAGACTGACTGCCTGGCGGCTGGGCTCGGCTGGGCTGGGCTGTGGGAGCTCACCCACTGGTCGGGGCCACCTCTTGTCAGCAGTAAGACCCCCCCGGGTCCAAGCCGGCTCGGGCGGAGAAAGCCTTAATTGGTAAAGTCGCCGGGGAGCCCAGAATGAGGGAGCGAGAGGAAGAGTGAAGGAGAAACTGGGGGGGAGGGGGCAGGAGGGGGGACGGGTGATGGCACTGCTGGCGGCGACCCCGCCCCTAGGGGAATGAGCTCACAGCCCAGCGGCCCTCCAGCCCAGAGAGGGAGGGCACCCTCACCCCCACCCCAGAGGGGCAAGGAGGCGGGGGGTGTTGGTGGTGGTGTGGAGAGGATCGCTCTAGGGTGCCCTCTTAGTTTCTTAGAACTTTTACTTTGGGTGCTCTTCTTTTCTCAATGCGTCCCCCCAGTTCAAGCTGACTGGTAGGATTAAAGGAGGCACACCCCTATCTCTCGTTTAGGCTGAGGGTCAGGGGTCAGATCCTGGGTGGACCTTGAACCCAATCACACTGCTCGATAGAGCAGACCAGAATGAGAGAGGGAGAGAGCTGAGCAGACTCCGGGTAGGGGAGGGGGGCCTCTCCCCCACTTTCTCCCTTCCTCTCCAAAATTAATTCTATTTAAATAACTGGGACAGGGACCCTGATGCTGTTTGCTGCTTTCCTATAAGTCCAGCTGGGACCCCCTCCCACCCCCCAGTGTGGCTGCACCTCTCCCTAAAGCCCCATCAGGATAGAAAGGTCCTCCTGCTCTTATAGAAGCCTGCTAAGTATAGAGCTGCCTAGCATCCTCCTTTGTCCAAGGTTCATTCCTCTCCCTCTAATCTCCAAGGCCCTCCAGCCTAGCCCACAGTCTTCCTTCATAGTTGGCCCCCAACAGAATTATTTGTGAATGAAGCAATGGAAAAGAAAATGGAAAGAATCCTGGCCTGGGATTCCTGGCTCACTCCCAGTGTGACCTTGGGTAAGTCCCTGCCCCTCTCTGGGCCTCAGTTTCTTCATCGGCAAATAGAATTGGATTGGATTACAAATTCTCTAAGGTCCCTCTCAGCTTTAATAGTGTATGAGAATATAAGGCAATATTAAAAAAAATGCCATGGGGGGAGGGGGCTGACAGTGGGAGATAGGTCCAGGGATCCTGACAACCTCTTCTAGGAGCATCTAGCTACTCATCCTCAGTCTAGGATATTAGGGGAACATGGGCCCCTCCTTGCCTCCCCAGGATGGTCTTCCCCAAAAGCCAGGTGTCAGGGTCCAGGGCTGGAGCATGCGGGGCAGGGAGGAGACCTGGGGTAGGGAGGCAGTGAGCAGGGGAGGGGTTAGGGTGGGGAAGGGAGAGAGATCACAGAATCCTAGCCTTGGAGTTGGAAGGGCCCTTGGACTTCATCGAGTCTAACCCCCTCACTGGACAGAGGACCATGAGCATCATCGAGCTGTGACTCCCTCAAAGGTAGTAAGTAAACAGTTTTTATCACCTATTGGTGAAAACCTCACCATGTCCCCTGGCTGGGAAGCAGGGCAAAGAGGTGGGATGAAAGTGGGGGTGGGGAGGCCAAAGGCTTCTCCAGAATCTTCCTTTTCTTGCCCTCAGCACAGCCTGGTCCAGAACTGGACCAATGGGGGTGGGCTGGAGCTTGCAGAAGCCTAGTCTTAGAATGGAACAGGCCTTCTGAGATCATCTAGTCTTATTCCCGCTGTTCTCCCCAGACTCCCCCCCCACACACCCTACTTTACACTGAGATGGGAAGGCACTTCCCCAAAATGAAGGATAATCAGTGACAGAGTCATGACTTCAATTGACCAACAAACTTTTATTAAGTCTCTATCACTGGAGATACAAAGAGAACTCTCTCAAAAGTTGCCACCTTCAATGGATGCCAGGCCTGGCTCCTAAGGTTCTGGTCTCCTGGATGTCTTGTAGGAGGGAGCAAAAAGGAAAAGGAGAGAAGAGAACTGGGGAGATGGCCACGGGGGGCAGGGGGGAGGATGTGCCTGAAGGAGATCTCTGAGCTCTCTCCAGATGCTGAAAAGGCAGGGGAAGGTCCTAAAGGGCTGGGGTGAGGGGGTGGCATATCCCAGCCTTACTGTACCCCCACAGCTTTAGATCCTCCCATGGTGGCAGAGGGCTGTCATCCTCCCCCAGCCCAAGATTCCTTCCAAGGAGCTGCCAGGGACAAAGGATTCAAGAATAGGTGAACGGGGCCTACAAGTAGGGGCCCTTCCCTCAGGAGGCTCACAAGTTCCAACAGCGGGCAGGTGTCCATCATAGGCTTAGCTCTGCTGCCTGGTGAACCACCAGAAGGGCCCAATTCCAGGAGTAGCCACAAGGCTGTGACCTAACAGGTCAACTGGGGGCTGGGGGGGGAAGAGGGAGGAGAAAAGAGCCCTAAGTGTCTCCCATGCTCTCCACAGCCACCTCGGGGATCTGCACAGAGCAGCCAATGTGTACTCATCTGAGGCAGAATGTTTGCACATGCTACAAATGGCTCCCTCCCCTCTGGGCCTCCCTCTTCCAAGAAGCCATTCTCCATTTGGCCCGCTGTCAGGTCCTGTCTCAGCACCCAGTGTTTCTTGGTTTACATTTTATATTTACTCCTCCTTCATTCTCCCTCAGCACTACATAAGCTCCCTGAGGGCAGGGACTGCTTCATTTTTGGCTCCATCTCCTCACAGAGACTGAGGCCCAGTGCCTAGCACCTAATGGGAGCTTATTGAATCAAATGGATGATCAGTAGGCCCGCTCTTTCTTCTGGGTTCTGCCACTAACTCTGCTGGATCCTTCCCCTTTCTAGGCCTTGTCTCTCCAGATCCCCCCCCCCCAATCCTGCTCTATAGAACAAAGGTCCACAAAGTCCTTTCTAGCCCTGATGGGCCATGCTTTGATAAAATATTTCCCAGCACCTGCTGTGTAGGAAGACTTTGGCTCTGGCTACATTTGGAGGAGCCAGAGGCTGGGAGGAAATCAGTGCAGGTTTCTCGAGCACTCCTAGTCTAGCTTATCTAAAGGCGAAGAGACTAGGCTAGTGTTCACTTCCCACAGCCACTGAGAAGCCCAGCCCAGCAGGCCTAGTGGGGACTCGGGGAAAATGTCCCCATCCATCTCTTTCCCTCATCCCTCCTCTTTCCTCTCCTTAGTCCAGGCAACAGTCTCCCAATCCTAGGTGTTTTCATAATAACAAGAAGCTGTCCCAGATGGGCCCCACCTTTGCCTGCCTATTCTCCAAGTATTGACCAGCCTCAGTCCCTCTCTGAACTAGGACCTGGGAAAAGGATCCTAAAAGAAATGAAGGGAAGGAAATGGGCCTCATTCTTGGCTTCTGAAATCACTGAGGATTCTGTCCAAAAGCCTGCCTGTTTTCTCTCTCTCATACTCTCTCTCTTGTCTTGCTTTCTCTCTCTGTTTTCTCTTGGTTTCTCTCTCTGGCTCTGGCTCAGTTCCTCTTTCTGCTTTACATCACAATATTGCCATCCAGATCAGCCCCCTGTGCCCAAGCCTGGGGGAGTAGGGAGTGGCACCAGCCATGCCAGGGAAGGCTCCTGGGTGTCTTCCCAACTCCTAACCAGGCCCCAATTTTCCTAAGCTCACTTCACCTCTCCCTAGGCCCCCCAACCTCCCTGACCTGAACTACTCCTCATCATCCACACAAAGAAAAGATGACTTTCTTCCTCTCTGTTTTTTTTCTGGGTTTGGGTACAGTGGGGTGAATCCTAGGCTGGAAGCTTGGCTCTGTTACCCTGCTGTCACAAATGGGGGGTAGGGCTCAGAGGTCCCTAATGCTCCCAACTCCAGGGGAAGATTCTGTTTTGTTGAAGGCTATGTATGACATCTCATCTCAAGAGGTGGGGATAGAGCCTGTGGGTTGCAGTTCCAGCTTCCTCCCTCTCCCTAAGCTGGAAGGGGCCAAGAAGGCAAGCAAGAGTGAATGAGGACCCTCTTCTCTGATCCAGGCTCAGAACAAAAGGTAGGCCCTTCCTTCAGTGTGTGTGTGGGTGGGTGTGTGTGGGTGTGTGTGTGTGGGGGGGGGCCCAGTGTGCATGTGGGTCCCAGGGGACACGCATCTGCCCATGTGTTGCTTGGTGCTACTTCATTTATGGACAGATCAGGGTCAGCCCAGCCCTCATGTCTACACTTATGTGTGTACCAGGATAAGAATGCTGAGGCACAGCACCTAGGGGGTTCTTGCCCCCCTAATACTGAGTCTCCATGCTGTTATTGACTTGGGCTAGAAAGTTAGGAAGCCTGCGTTCTAGCTCTGCTTGTGCCTCTGACTAAGATGTACGACCTGGAACAAGTTAATCCTCGGCTCTATGCCTCAGTTTCTCCATCTATAAAATAGAAGTGGGGAGGGAGGGAAGACTAATCTCTGAGGCCCCTTCCAGCTCAGTCTCTGTTTGGCCCTACTTTGCCCCAGATGAAAGGGAAGTCAAAGCCTTACCTGTTTGGGGACTTGTGGGGACCAGGCCCTCAGTTCCATGTAGAGGCTCTTTCTTTGAAGACCACTGTCGTGCCAAAGGTCCTGGAGCTGGGGTCTTGCCTGTGGCAAGGATGGAGGAGGGTGTCAGTGAAGTACAGGTTTCTAATGATCCTCCACACCTCTGTTGTGGGCAAGGAAGCTGTGGAGGCCTAGCACCTGGATCTCTGAAGGCACCCATCCCCTTGCTTTCTCCCTTCCCTCACCCAGGGTCACTCACCTCAAGCTTGTGACTCTTCTTTCCCTCCACTGGCAAATGTCTTTGGGTCAGACAGGCTACAGGGTGGAGAGGAGTAGACAAGGGTCTCCTCTGCTTCTGGGGGAGTCCAGACTAGGTTCTGGGGGTGGGGGTGGGGGAACTGCAAATATGGGACTGGAGAGCACAGCCAGAGGAGGCAGCAAAGGTGGTGGTGGTGGTGGTGGTGGTGGCAGCACCAGTAGTGGTGGCAATAGCAGGGGATAAATGTGGACACACACACAGACACACACAAACTGAGGACTGGAAGAGCTTATAGATCATCGAATCCCCATCCCCCTCTGTTTGCCAGAGCCAGAGGAGGAAAATGAGGCCTAATGAGAAGAGACTTGCCTGAGGTCACATAAGCATATACACAAACACATTTGAACCCAGAGGCAGGGGGCTGGAAAGAGAGGAGAACATAGGGGCAGGGGCCAAACCCCTGTGACTTGGGCCCTCAGGACGTGGGACCCTGGATGCTCTTGCTCTTCCTTGGGAGGGGGTGCAGCAGTTAGGAGCCCCTGCCCTAGGCTAGGCACTGTGCTGGAGACAAGGGGAGAAGAACCCTGAGGCTAGCTGGGAAAGGTAGGGAGAAATATGGGCAATCTGCTCAGAGTGCAGGTCAGGGAGGCCAGTCAGGGCAATCATTCCAAAGGAAGGGGGTTTGGAGGAGGAAACAGAGGCCTCAAGAGAAGGGACCTGTCCAAGGTCACACAGCTAGGGTTTGAAGGATTAGTGGGATGAAAAGAGGAGGGCCAAGGACATAGGATAAGAGGAACAGAGAAGTTGGGTTAGAAAGAGTCTCAAAGATTATGTAGTCAAACCTTCTTCTTTGAAAGAGGGGAAACTGAGGTCCAGGGGGGAAAAATGATTTCCCCAAGATTACAGTTAGTGAGAGGCAAAGGTGGGCTTTCAATTGAGATCTTTTTCAACCAGAACTCTGGCTTTTCATTGAGAAATGAAGGAAAGAGTGAGCTAGGAAAGCACTTGGTGATTGGGTGGAGAGGGTAGAAGCATTGGGGAATCTCTCACCTCTCCAGCTGCTCCCCAAGTGGGGTCAGGGCCTCTCCAGGCTTCTGGCTACTGGTGTCCCTGAGGCTGCAGTTCTCTGTGGGTGGGAGGGCAGGGATAGGGCTCATTGGGAGCTCAATGGGAGAGGGGGTGGGGGGGCAGGAGAAGCAGTCCTCCATTTCCCCCTAGAAGGCTGGGGGTCTTAGAGAAAGCAGTGCCCATACACGTGCCCAGGCCTGGCAGCCCCTGGGGAACAGCTAAGCTGGAATTCCTCTCCTCATAAGGAAACAGCTTCATTTTGGCTTAGGGGGAAGGGACTTGTTTATACTACCCGGGGGAGCAGTGAACAGTGACTCAGTCTTTGCCTATAGAGGTGGAGATGGAGGGACACGGACACACACACCCACACCCACACCCACACCCGCACTCACCCCACCCCCTCCACACCTCCTCCCCCACCCCCTCCCTCTCTTAAGCAGTCTTACCATGTGTTAGCCCCAGGGTACTGGCTCCTTCAGGGACCTGGGGAGTAGACATGGGATCAAGCCTGGGGAAGGGAGGACAATGCCCTTCCCCTCCACAGTAGATGGGGCAGAGATACTCACCTGGCCTTTTAGCTCCAGATTTGGGTAGAGCTGCCTTCTTTGGCAGACACTAGTAGGATTAGAGGTTGGCAGGCCTCCCCAAGCTTCAGCAGCAATTTCCCCCTTCTCTCTGGGACACCATCCTGTTCCCCAAAGGGGCCCCCCAGATGGCTCTGAGCCTCCCTTCTCACCCAGATTAACCTCTTCAGAGACTTGCCCCAGGACAGCCTCCAACTCTTGGGCCCTGACATGGGGCTCCCCATGACTGCCCTGGCAGGCCAAGGGCTGAGGGCAGTCTGGGGCTGTGAGACTTCCACAGGCCCCCAGAGCAGGTTCTGAGCTGCCCCTGGCTGCTGCTGCTGCCTTGGCCTTCGCCTTGGCCTCCAGCTGGTCCAGGTGGAGCTGAAGCCTGCACTGTAATTCCAGCCCTAGGGCCATGGCCTGGACAGCCTCACTCTCCTCATCCTCCTCTGCTGATCCAGGAATGCTCAGAGCCTCCTCATCCTGCAGGCAATAAGCCCCTGCTTCTGCCTCTCCAGGGCCCCACACTTTTGGCTCCTGGAAAGCTCCCTTCTGGGGGATAGTGTCTTTGGTTTCCCCTTGTTGGGAGAGCAGGACAGGCTGCCTCCCAAAGGCTGAGTCCATTGGCCTTTCCGTTGCTTTTTTTCCTTCTTCCTTCTTGGTCACCTCCTCCATTTTCTCCTCTTTTTTTCCCTCACAGTTCAGAAGCCCAGTTCAGAAGCTCACAGTTGCAGGAATCCAGTCTGGACTGAAAAGGGTTTTTTCTATCCCTGGAGGATCAGATGGGAAGGAAGAGAATAAGCATTTATATGGTGCCTACTGTGTGCCAGGAGGCAACTAGGTGGTAAAGTGGAGAGAGTGCTGGGCCTGGAGTCAGGAAGACTTAAATCTGGCCTCATACACTTCCTAACTGTGTGACTTTGGGCAAGTCACTTCACCCTGTTTGTCTCAATTTCCTCATCTGTAAAATGAGATGGTGAAGGAAATGGCAAACCACTCTAGTATCTCTGCCAAGAAAACCCCAATGGAGTCACGAAGAGTCAGACATGACTGAAACAACTGAACAACAACAATAAACTGTGTACCAGGGACTGTACAGAGTGCTTTTTACAAATATTCTCTCATTTGATTCCCACAACCACTTTGAGAGGTAGGTGCTGTTGTTAGCCCCATTTTATAGTTGAGGAAACTGAGGCAGGCAGAGGTGAAGTGACTTCCCCAGGGACCAATAAATTGTAAGTATTATTTGAGGCTACATTTGAACTCAGATCCTCCTGACTCCAGGCCCAGGGCTCTATCTAGCTGCTTCTACTCAGAGAAGGCTTAGGAGGTCACATGGCAAGTCACTGGTCAATAGCCAGTGCCAAAGCCCTGGTCCCAGTAGAACATAAACTCCTTGAGGGCAGGAAGTGTTTCATTATTCAGCAATATTTGTATCTAAAGTGCTTAGCCTGGCACACAGTAGGTGCTTAATGTTTATTAAAGACTGATTGGTTCTCCAATGTATCCTTGGAACCTAGGACAGGGCCTGGAACATAGGTCTTTACATTGGATCATCTCCTGTTGAGGTCTCCTTGCTTTGCTAGTTTTCTGGCTTTTCCCCCAGTGTGAGGACCCTGTCTCTGTCCTCTGTACTCCCATCTTGTCATCCCACTGTGAGGCCTGAGTATCAGTGACTCTACTTGATCTCACTTGGACTGAAGAATTTACACTGTATCTTGTACATACAAAGGGGTTTGCACACATTGTCTCCCTTATTACACAGCAAGCTCCTTGAGGACAGGGACTGTCTTTTGCCTCTCTTTGTATCCTCAGCACTTAGCACAGGGCCTGGCATATATCAGAGGCTTGATAAATGCCTGCTGACTGACTGAGATGAGGGGAGGGGCCAGAAGTTGGCCTTATTCCACCAAAGTAGAGCCACTGCTTGGGGGAAGAGGTAGCAGAGTCATAACAGTAACCACATGGCTCTTCTCCTTCCCCACCCTGTGGTTCTGGGTGGTAACCTGCTAGGGAGGCAGCAGCCTGGGTGAGATGAACAAACTGTCCCAGAGCCTTCTCAGCTCTACTAACCACAAGCCTGGGTGCTGCTGCAACTGGGCAACAGCAGTGAGAAAGGAGGGCAGGGTGCTTTGGGGTGAAGGAGGTTGGGGCTCCTTGCCTTCTATTCCTCATGGTAGAGCTGCAAGGGGCTCTAAAGGTCTAGGGGAAACCAGGACCCAAACTCCACAGGCCAATCCGGGCTCGCAGGCTGGGTGTGGACCAGCAGTGGGCTGGGCACCAGGGAGCCCTGGCCTTGCCCACCTGGGGGCCCTGGCCTGGCCGACAGGGGCAGGCGTAGCACGAGTACAGACCAAGACCCGGAAGGCCAGAGGCTTGGCTGGCCAGGGGTACCCGAGAGGCCTGGCGGGTTTGGGATGATGGGATCAGGGTAGTTGCTTCTCTCGGGGGGCGTGGCCGTGCACTGGTCATCCTTGGGGATCATACAATGCTTCCCACCAGATCCATCCTAGCACCCTCACCCCCACTCCCCCCCCCACACCCCAGGTTGCTTAACGGCGGGGCGCACGTCCCTCCCCGACAGTCCAGCCCAGCCCCACCCGGCCTCACGATCCCTACTTGGCTCTCGCCCCGCGGCCGCCCGGTAACATGCTCTCAGCCAATCGCCTGCCAGCTGAGGCCAAAGGCTATTGGCCATTCTCAGCTGGGCCAATCAGCACGTCTCATTTATTTCTCAGCCAATCACAGCTCAACTTTTCGGTAGTTGCCAGGCTCATTATGCCATCGGGTGACGTCATCGCCCTCAGTGAAAGCTTTTGGTGGGGGGCGAGAGCGGCGGGAGGAGGGGGGCTGAGAATGGAGGGGATGAAAGAGGGATCCAGTGTTCTCCATGGCACCCCTAGTGGGGGAGGTACAAAAAAATTGGGCATGGCTAGGAGGGGAAAAGGGGCTGCGGGAGGCCCCCCACAGCCGCCCCCGCTTCCCACCCTTAGCTTAGTACAGACGCATAAGCGGGCTGTCGGACTCCCCCCTGGAGAACTGGAAGGGCCTCATTTTACAGAGGAGGAAACTGAGGCCTAGCGAGGTTAGGTGACTTACCCAAGGTCACACGAATGGCAGAGACAGGCTCCAAACCCGGGTCCTCTCACTCTAGTAAAGCCAACAAGAGAATCGAATGCGGCAATAATAGTTACAGAGAGAGGGTTCGATGGAGAGAGAAGGGGGAGGGAGAGGGAATGAGACTGACAGAGAGGATGAGAGAGGGAAAATGAGGGCACTGCGATTACGGCTGCGGCTGCGGCTGCGGCTGCTGCGGCAAGAAAAGGACCCAGCGAGATAAGGAACTGGCTGGGCTCTGATAAGGCAGTTGAGAGAAGAGACACGGAAAGAGCGCCGCTTCTGGTCATGGCTGGGACCGACTGCTTTGTGAACTGGGAAAGGGGCTAGTCCTCGCCCTTAGCCCTCTTCTCCACCCCTCCCCTCGCTCTTCCCTTTTGTCCCTCCAAACGGGGGAAAGCACCTAGAAGGAAGGCGTGGGGCTAGATGAAAGGGTTGCTTTGCTGGGAGGGGTCCGCAAGTTTGTGGCGCCTCAGAATATGGAGGAGGGGGTATTTACATACATCACAGGCTCAGGTGGCATGCCGTGGCCCTTCTCTCTCTTCCTTCCTCTCAATCAGTGATCATTTAAGTACCTACTATGTACCCGACATTGTACTAAGTTTTAGGGAGACAATGAAAGGCAAAAACAGGGTCCCTGCTCACAAATGGGAGAGACAACATGTAAACAACCACTTACAAACGATATAAGCCGGATAAAGAGGAAATAATCAACAGAGCTATTAATATAGGGGATCGTAAAATCTTCCTGTAGAACGCTGAATTTTAGCTGGATCTTTAAGCCAGGAAGATGAGGAAGGAGAGAAATAGAGAAAAGGAGGCAGAAAGTCCTTAGAAAATGTCAGGAGTTAAAGCATTTTGCTCAGAGAACAGCACTGTGGTCACTGGATTGCAAGACCATGTGGAGGTGTGGACATTCTCCTGAATGTTCCTCCTCCTCCCTCCATTCCGTCTCTGTCTGTCTGTGTGTCTCTGTGTCTGTCCCTCTCTCTCTCTCTCTCTCTCTCACACACACACACACACACACACACACACACACACACACACACACACACACACACATTTCCTTCCTCCCTCTCTGGTTCTCCAGCCTCTCTGAGGCTGGCCCATCGGAGGTGCCCAAGATGAAATATCTGGGGTATGGGCTGTGTGGATAAGAATTCATACCTACTCAAGGGCAAGCTGTTTAGACTAACAGTGATACCTTGATACCCCAGTCACCCCCTCCTAGACAGGAATCCCTGCCTATCCTCAGGAAAGCCCCAGAAGGAAAGGCTTTAGTGGTGAGAGGCAGGCTTAGAAGAATCTGAGTTAAAACAGGCCAAAGAGAAGGGTATTTCCCCTGGCATCAGGGCAGAATTGCATGTCAACCATACTTGCCAGGGTGACTCAGATTTCCTGGGCTTGTGAGGTAGGGGCTAACCAAGGCATTGAAACACGTCACCAGGTACCCACAGATCCTAGTCTTTCCCCACAAGCATATCAACAAGCTAGGAAATCATGCAGAGCCTTTAGAAAAGGGAACAGAGACAGGGAAGAAAGGGAGGAGAGGGAAGAATTTACTTAGGGCTCTAAGCTCCCCCTGCCTACCATCTGCCAAGCCCAGGGCAGGGAAAACACCCAAATAAGTTTCTTTAGGGAAAGGAGAGGAGGAGTAGAGGAATAGTTCATTTTTACATAGGCTTTAAAGTTTGCAAAACACTTTACAGATATTTTCATCTGGTCCTTGCAATGAGGTAAGTGCTGTTATTATCATTCCCATTTTACATATGAAGAAACTGAGGCTCAAAGATGGCAGGCCTAGGATCACAAAGCTAGAAGGTGTTTGAGGTGGTATTCTAATCCAGGTCTTCCTACCTCCAATTCCAGTACTCTCCCACTGGGTACACTGCCTGTGAATGTTTGAAGGAGTCCTGAGCCACTCTTGCCAATATTGTAAAGGAAGTAAAATTTATATTCTTATTCCCTCTTTTCCCTTTCCTCAGTTACCACCGCTGTCTGGGCCTTTATTGATCTTTTATAGACTGTGCATTAGCTTCCTTCCTTTTTTTTTCTTTAAATTTATTTTGAGTTCCAAAATATCTCGCTCCCTCTGCCCACCCATTGAGAAGACAAGCACATTATACCTATGAAGTCATGCAGAGCACGTTTTTGTATTAGCCATGTTGTAAAAAAAAAAAAAAGCAAGAAAAATAAAGAAAGGAAAAAAAATGCTTCAATCTGCACTCAGAATCTGTCAGTTCCCTCTATGGAGGTGGACACCATTTTTCATTTAGTTCTTTAGAATTGGCTTAGATCATTGTATTGATCAAAGTAGTTAGGGCTTTTACAGGTGCTCCTCATACAACATTATTATCACTGTGTACAGTGTTCTAGTTTTGCCCACTTCACTTTACATCAGCTCATGTAAATCTTCCAAGATTTTTCTGAAACCATTCCCCTCATCATTTCTTTTTTATTTAAATTTTATTAATTTATTTTGATTTATCAACAATCACTTCCATATGCTTTTGAGTTGAAAATTTTTCTCCCCCTTCCTCCCCCCCACCCTCCCCAAGACGTGCACAATCTGATATAGGCTTTACATTTACATACCCATTAAATATATTTTCACATTAGTGAAGTTGTAAGTAAAAATTAAAACCAATAGGAGGAACCATCAGAAAGATGAAACACAACTCAACAGAAGGTAAAAGTAAGTGATAGCGATTTGACTTCCATAGTTCTTTCTTTGGATGTGGA